TAGGCGCAAATCCACGTGTATCCAAGTCGAGTATATGTCTGATAATCACCTGCTCCTCTAGCTTGGTGAGCTTCTTTGAGTTGGGCTGGCAATCGCGTCGGGCGCGCGTCCTAGCGCGTTGGCGTTGGAGGGTAGTTCGAGAGACTCCGTACGTATAGGCAGCAGATCTCTTAGTTGATATTTGGCGTTGATTAAGAGCTAAGATTGCAAGGTTTACATTGGCCTTATGAGAGCTGTTTTGGCCGTGGTGGGAGGGGGCCATGGTTGATTGAAGTATATACGTTGCGCAAAGTTAGTGGGGTGGCCCGCTCGCTTGTATGGCCCGCTCGCTTGTAAAACATGTTACCGAATTGTGCGAAGTAGCCTGCTTTATGTGATTTGAGCAACGCAGTACTTATATCTCGAGATTACTGTATAGAGTGTTTAGTTTATCTAAAGTCTAAGTATCTAGTATTTTTCTCGTAACAGCGTGGTTCTCGCTACGCAGTGGGGGATAGTAGGATATTAACGGCTGTATTTGAGTAGGTTGGGGAATGCAGCAGCAGATGTGCCCTCGTAACGCTCGATATGTTCTTCCAAGATAGCACGTTTGTACTGGTCTTGTGCCTGTACGAGTATGGCCTTAACGTGACATGTGATTGCCATATAAGGCATCGTTTGCAGTATTGGCAGCAGAACGTCACAGTACCCTTGCATTTTGAGTTAGCGCGATTTGTATCGAGACAAGTCAGGCTTTTGTCGATGGGTAATGACTATGATGCGTAACATGAAGGTTCGCATCTTTTCAAACAGCATCCAAGATATGAGGAGATAGTGTAGTTGTGTCGCGTCTGGTGGGCGGCTTTGGCGGCTTTGGCGGGCCCCGCTTTTGCCATGGAAAGCTTGATCTCGTTGGCGGCGAGCTTATTACCGGTACTGTAGCGGCACCTCTTCTCCGCGCAACTTTTGACGTTGATAGGTCTGATCGCTCTAAGCTTGCCATATTCTCATGGATCATGATCCAGACGCGTTATATCCTGCGCGATATAAGCACCACCCTATCAATCGATACCGAATCATGACGATTCACTAGCAGGATATTAGCGACCTCTGGCGTGGCTACAAGAAGTCTCTTCTTTTTAAATCACGGGTACTCCCAGGTGCCCGTTTTTGTGCCTGCTGTCGTCCTTTTCTCGTTGCAACCCGATGGCTGCTAACGATCCTGGCCTTGCGGCTCTCAGCGCACCAGCTGAAGACCCTGTGAAGGGCGCCGTCGACATCCCATCGATCGACACAGAGGTACCGGTCGTACCTGATCAGTTCGATCCGAAATACGAGACGACGAGAAAGGAGATCTGGGCATACTACGCCTACTACGTTGGCGACAATGGTCTTACTCTTTTTAACTTCGGCCCAACAGCCTTTCAGAATCTCATGTACCAGGCTGCGGGCGACTCCGAGATCCTCCATTTCTTTGGTAGAGACAGGACCATCAACAGCATCGTCCTCCTCTGCAACGGCATCAGTTTCGCCATCCAGATCGTGGTCTTTCTCATTCTGGGTTCATTCGCGGATTTCGGCACATGGCGACCGAACATCTTGATTGTGCTGTCTGTGATTGCCTTTGGCATCGGTTTCGGCTGGCTCGGCGTGCACACTGAGGGAGATTGGCACATTGGCGTGGGACTCTACATAGTGGGTCTCATCGCCTACCAAACGACCATTACATTCTGGACAGCCGCGTTCCCTGGCCTGGCGAGGAATACCAAGGACCTACGCATGAAGGCCGACGAATTCGCCGATGGACATATCACCCGCGCAGAATACGACTTTGCCGATATGATGAAGAGGAACGAGCTGTCCAACACTGCCTTCTACGTGCAGTCTGTCTTCGAGATTGCCATTTTGGCTGTCATCGTGGGTATCATGTTCGCGCTGCACGTCAACGACAGCGAAGCGAACAACAACTGGGGTCTTTCTGTGCTCATCGCATTCGCTACTGGCGTATGGATTCTTTGCGCCATTCCTTGGTTCGTGCTGGAGAAGCGACGTCCGGGCCAGGACCCGGGACGAACCAACATCATCGTTGCGGGTTTCAAGCAGCTCGGTTACGCAATGACACAGATCTGGCAGTTGCGTCAGAGTCTGGCATATCTCGTTGGCTACTTCCTGCTCGGCGACAGTCTTAACACTACTGTGACGGTCATTGGAACGTTGCAGAACCAAATAGTAGCATACAACAGCTTGCAGCTCACGTATCTTCTTATCGTCGGTATTGCTGCGCAAGCCGTTGGCATCGGTGCATTCTGGCAGATTCAAAAGCGCTATGGGCTGTCCACCAAGACTATGTTCATGGTCATCGCTGTCTGTATTGTGCTCTTAGACGGCTGGGGCATGATCGGAATCTGGACCCAGGCCTTTGGTTTCCACAAAATATGGGAGGTATGGGTGTATCAAGCTTTCTACGGCCTGCTCGTGTGCCCCTGGTACAGCTATTCGCAAACCATGATCAGCGAGGTCACACCGCGTGGCAAGGAATTCCTCTTCTTCAGCTTGTTCTCAATTGTTGGAAAAACGAGTGCGTTCATTGGTCCCCTGGTCAGCAGTGCCATCATCGACGACACTGGCAACAATAGCAGTCCCTTCTACTTCCTGTTCGCGTTGAGTTTAGTCAGCTGCACGTGGCTTTACTTCTTCGTAGACGTTGAGAAGAGCAGACTCGAACAACAGGACTTCCTGGAGAGGGAGAAGAGCAGCAAAGCGGACGTCGTCAGAGTCTAGAACTCATTCTATAACGGGCGGTGCCCATTTCCCTTGAACCATGGTCCGAGTACACATACTGTCAATTTGGTATTGGAAGATTACGGCTGATCAAAGCGAGAAAGCAATTGCCTTCTCCAGGTGTACAGAAAGCGGACCCTGGGACTTTTCTACCACACGACAGAAGCCTGGCTCGCTCTCACTTTCAACACTTGTTTCTTCCTCAGATGTCTCGTCCGTCTCCGAGTTGGCTCTGCTATGCAAAGCTGTTTCGGGCACCTCGATTATTTCTTCGAGATTCGCGCCGGCAAAACACTGGTACTGTTTGTCTTCATCCAGCATCGCTTCCCACGCGGCAGTTTCGATGCGGTCCAGTTCAGCTCTTCGGGCGACAATCTCTTTACGCTTGTCCATATATCGCACTTCCAAGAGGTCTTTATTCCGTCCAAACTCTTCTACGACTGAATGCGTTTCTCTTCGCAGCCGTGAAAGCTGTCTTGCGCAGATGTCGTCACCAAGCAGAGTAGCGAGCGCCTCTGCGTCGATCAAGAACGACTCGACTCTTCCAGCAGTGACTTTGAGCCGGTGAACCGCCGTATGCCGGATTTGGGCTATTGAACTGAGTAATTCACCAAATGGTTTGACGAGTGTGGTGATACGTTCAACATCGAACAAGCTTTGCCTTGATCTGAATATGCCCGTCCAGCAATTGAGTTCAACGCAGTCTGGACTGTCCCGTCCCTGCTCGTGTAGCTCCTGCGTCATTATCCTTTTTGCGAAAGTGAAGCATGCATGCTCCAGAACGTCTTGCACCTTGCTCAGCAGCCGACGTTGGCCCTTTGCGGGCAGATATAACGGATAGAGAGAGCGAATGGTGAATGTCTCTGGGTGAAGGGGCTTTTGGCCAGGAGCATCATTGGGCGGAGCTTCTTATATTAACACCCGCATCTGACCAGCCGATAGAAGCTTACCTATCACGTTTACCTTTTGCTTTAGCTCGGCCACTTCTTCGTGCACCGCGGTCGAGACGCTTCCACCGGGCGGTCCCACTGTCATGTCTCTTATCGCATCCTCTTCAGTCCTCGTGGCCTCGGCTTCGGACGCTGCTCGCTCTGCACTCTGTGCAGGAGAGACATCAAAGAGTTCCGGGAAGCGCATCTTTGCCTTTAGTATCGACCTAAAGATATCTCCCTCGAGGAGTGTCTTGACTGATTTGCTAACATCGTCAAGATTGTGTTCTTGTAGCAGTGTCCGTATCTCTTCAGTGCGATTGCCATGCGTTTGTATCTTCCTTTTGATGGTCTTGTCGGTTCGCGGATGTGTGTTTATACCATTGAAAACGCTCTTAAAGACGAGGTAGACAGTTCTTTTGTCGGGAGGAATGTGTGACATAATGCGAGCGAGAACCAAATGGCAAAGTAGTTTTTTGTCCGGATATTTTTGGTTAGAAAATAAAAGGAAAGTTGTTTGGCCGTTGAACCTATTCATCTAATGTACCCGTCGTGTTAACTCCAAAGCATCGCAAGGGTCTTGTACCACGGCTGCATTCAGGTTGGTGTGTAAGATTCCATTCGAGCGCACGCAAACATCAGTCAAGTATCTAATTGTGCCAAAATCAACCTGCTCGTTTCGACTGAGCTAGCGGCATTTTGTGATGTCTGAAGCCGTACCAGTCCCTCCTCCGAAGATGTGGAGTGGGCCGTTCTCAACCTGGGCACCTGCTGTATTCACTAGCAACCTCAGAGAAATCATTGCGCGCCAACGCCATCTCTTTATTGCCCCGGAGTGCATTTTGATTTAGAACTGATATTGCAGAAGCCTTGTTGGGCTGTCATTGCTCTGCTGCTACAGCGACCACACCTCCAGATTGCGATATTTCGCAACCAGCGGCTGCATGCCCCGGAATGCAATTCTGCCCTCCCGAACGACTGGACCAGTGTTGGTCTTGGTGTCATCAAACCTGAAGATCTCGAGCCCGTTGATGTAAAAGCTCGCCTCCCTCTTGTCCTTGACCACCGTGATGTTGTAGTACGCACCTTGCGTATCAGCGACATCAGGGATTGGATCTGCAGCCTGTGCAACAAGATTGAATCCTGGGCTCTTCCTCAGGTTCGCGACGTGGAACTGCCTCTCCTCCGGCCATCTTCTGCGAAAGTAGCTCGCATGAAGGAGCCTAATGTCACTGGAGTGGTACTGAGGGTAGCTTCCATTGCGCGGCTTGAGACTGGGATCGAAGATGCTACCACCTGAGACGGAAGTCGCACCGAAAAAGAACATAGCCAGGCCAGGTTCTTGAATAGGCTGAAAATCCCATGAGATCCTTATGCGGTCAGGGAAAATCTCAGGCAACCAGTACACGAAATATTCGTCGATCTTGCCCGCGCCACCGAGGGTAAGAGTATTGTTGGTCACGTTGGCAGTGACGGGGCCTTCGGCGACCCATGAAGCAATTGAGGAGCTGTTGCTGAAGGTGTTGCGGTAGAGAAGCTTCTCGGCGGCCGCACCGTACGCTGCAACAGAAATGAGTTGAAGGAGGAATAAACGCATGATCGGCAATCGTGTCAACAAGCGCTGAACCTGCAGAGCGAAGATCGTTCCAGCTGCGGATCGTACTTTTTGATTGCAGACAGGCCACTGGACCCGGCAGGACGGCTGCCTTTAACCAATTCATCTCGTCTTGCGACATCGTGATGTGCAATGTGCTAAGCAATCCTAAGGGCGAGCTTCATCTCCGCTGGTGCTGCATATCGACAAGAACAGGCACTTTATTACTGCCCTCGGTTAGGCATCCGGTGTTGCAAGGATGGTGGCGATGTTGCCATCGACAAGGATCGGCGCATCACTCAAAGTCTGGGTAAACCTGCACGTTCTTGCTGCAGGTCGAGCACACGGTTCCAGAAACGTTAGATCCAAGAAGCTGGACGATGGCCGAATCTAATTCTTTTCGCTTGAATTTGACCGAGCCGTCCCGTAGATCCTATAGTTCGGGACTGGCACAAATCACTGCTGTCAGTAAACTCTAGCGAGTCAGTTAATGCCGAAGTCGCTTGGAGCCCCTCGGGAGTTGCGGCAACCATGGCCGCTGCACAATTTTCTAAGAAACTAGGACTGATAACTGTATTCAGAGCATAATTGGGGTGCTAATATTTCACTCAATCTGCTCAGCATATGCCCAGACGTAAGCGGCGATTAGACTAAGTGCATGTAGAGTAATGACTTTGTGCTCCCTTGTGATTTCATGTGGGTGTGCCTGACAGACTAAGCGAAAGTTGGATCACGAAGTGTGGTGCAGCGTGTATAGTCTATGTTTTGAGGTGGACTTGCCCCATTGCTAAAGTTCTTGAAATACGTTGATATCAACACGAGTGAAGGCGGCCTATTCTTTGGTTCGAATCTCCGCAGACTGAAGCTCGAATGAGTCGTTCGACTCGGGCCTCCAGAAACGCTTGTCGCCCTTGATGGCGCGAATGAACCAAGGCTGGTTGCGAGCAGAGTCGGCGCGGACTGAAACATGTTAGCGATTCGAACGAGGGGCAGGCAAGAACAGATAGACTTACAGCTCCAGTACTCCTTGTCGTCATAATCAGGAGGCAAAATGCGACCGCGCGAGACAGCACCAAGAGCCCAGGTGAAGGTATTGAGGATGGCGTAGCACATGATACCAGCGACCAGGCCGTACGCAATCGAGTATGAGAAGGGCATGAACATCAGAGTGACAAAGGCCGGGATCGAGTCGCCGGGATAGTTCCAGTTGATGGCCGTCATTCCGCGCATCATCATGCAACCGACGAGGATCAAAGCTCCACCAGTCGCCCAGGGTGGGATGGAAGCGAAGATGGGTGCAAAGAACAGCGAGATGAAGAAGCAGATTCCTGTAGTCATGGCTGTCAAACCAGTGCGACCGCCCTCTTGGATGCCAGAGCCAGACTCAACGAAAGCCGTGACAGGTGAGGAACCAAAGAGAGAACCAATGGAGATAGCAAATGCGTCGGCACTGTAGGCAATGGTGCTCTTGGGAAAATCACCAGTGTCGGGGTCAACGACACCAGAGAAACGAGCCATAGAGTACAGGGTGCCAGTGGCGTCCAGAATATCGACGTACAGCATGGTAAAGACAGCAAGGATGAATTGGCCAGCGACGTCGCCGTCGATTGTGGAGAGGGTCCAGTCTTGGACAGCCAAGGTTCTCTTGATGGGGTGGAAAGCGACCACATTCTTGAAAAACTCGAACCGAGAGTCACCAACTTCGGTACGCGGGAAGAATGTGATAGAGGTGTCGCGAGGCCAGGAGAAGATGGATACCAGAGCGATACCGACGATCATAGCACCGCGAACCTTGTATGTCATGAGAAGAGCGGTTAACACTCCACCAACCATGAAGCCAAGCCACATGGTAGGCGAAGTCGCCTTGTGAGAAAGACAGGCGCCAGTATCATCGTCGAGGTACTGTGGAGGACAGCCACCAAGCTCAAGAGGGGTGGCCTTTGAGCCGGTGATAGCACCAATACCAGCAGAGTAAGACAGACCGATCAGTGTGAGGAAGAGACCGATACCGGCACCGCAAGCAACCTTGATGGAAGCGGGGATGATGCGAGCCAGCCATTGACGAATTCCGAGAAGAGAAAGAGCGATGAAGATGAAGCCTTCGACAAACACTGCCATCATGGCAACGCGGTAGTTGATCGGCCCAGTTCCGTGGAAGCCAACAATCTGATAGGCAAGATAGGCGTTGAGACCCATGGCAGGTGCAACCGCAACTGGAAGGTTGGAGCTGATTCCCATAAGGAAAGAACCAAAGGCAGCGATCGCAGCAGTGGCAGTGACGAGATCTCGGTTGACTTCAACAAGACAGAGGTTGTAAGCCGCATCCTTAAGACATGTAGGATCGATTGTATCGTTACAGACACATGTGGCACCGGAGTCAGTGAGTACGGAAGCCTAAACATGGTGGATCAGCCGCTGTCAGAACTCAAAATCTGAGACATCTACTCACATTGACAGCAATGATGTACGCCATGGTGAAGAATGTGGTCAGCCCAGCTCGCAACTCGGTGGTGAATCTCGCGCCCTTGATCTCATTGGGCTGCAAGTGTCAGCTTTACTTGTTGCAATCAGTCGATCGCTGGACTTACATGACCAGATCCCTCAAGGTGGAAGTACCTCCCCACAATAGAGCCAGATACGATGTCATTCAGACGGGCTTTGTACGCTGCAAAGCCCATGATTGCCGTTGTCAATTCGCAGATAATGGGAACAAAATACAGAAAGGTTCAAGCCGAAGGGTATGCACAACCTTTCAAGGGTAGACGACCAGTGCACTTAAAAGGTCGATTCGACACCTCGCCCAACTAGTCGTAGTAGCTGTGAGTAATGTCGGATATCCTCCTTTTGGAGAGTTGACACTCTGGTTGCTCCAACGCATACCGTGGTAGCGCACGTACCGGCAACTGCAAGCCGTCGTCTTTCTAGTGGCTTGTCCTACAGGAAGCCACCAGGATCGAAGGTTTCACTAGTCCACGGCGTACCAAGCCCCTTTACCTCATCCTGTCAACAAAGCTGCAGGCAGTTCGGCTTATCGTTACCGAGATGGCCGAAATCATTGGGGTCCATCCGTTTGGAGGTCGTGTGCGCTCCGCGGTGATGGTTCATCGGGGCCGTGTCGGTATGACGATCAGATTGTTGTGACTCCAAATACACATTGTTTGTTTACTGTGCTGGTGTCATCGCGTGTTTGCTACCCTGGATGTACTCATCTCAATCTCGGCATGCAAAACGTATCCGAGACAGCCCGAACGGGGAGGATTTTAGCACAACTGATGAGTGTTCGGAGATGATGGGTGAGTCGGACTGACCAGGTGACAATGACAGGGAAAAAATCTTGGCAGAGCGGCCCAGGAGAGACACGCATGCATGCTAGGAACTAAGGCCGTACAGATGCGCCACTCAGGCACGAAGCGGCAGCGGTACCTGGTGAGGCCTCCCGCGCTGCATTACTGGGCAGGTGGAGTAGCTCGAGGTGTACGCATTGGCCAGTGTCGTTTGGAAGGTGGCATCATTGCCGACCAGGGGACTGTATCCAAGCTCAAAGGTTCCGATCTGTCGGGGCCGTTGGTATTGTTGAGTTGACAGACGATGGAGAAAGTGGGTGAAGGTGGTGATGCCGCCGAACAACCTCCGCAAGTGAGGGTCCCAGCGAATTGTGATGGTCTGTGCGACTCTACCGGCTCGCTTTCACGGGAGCGGGATTTATCCTCCGACTGGCTGCCGTGCGACACCATCATCGCCATCAGGTCAGGATCCCTGCTAGCCAATGCGCTGCAGGAATGTGCATCCTAGACGCCCCCACCATACATTGATCCTAACGACCGCTTCAGTATGTCCTCTCGAGTCCATGGAGCGAGACGCCAACCGTATCAATGCTAGCCATGTTGGGCGCACAAGTGTACAGAGTCAGTTGCTCCGGCGCCGTGTGCAGCACTGTGATATGATCCGTGTGATTCCATCCATGTATGCAACACATGTGCAATCCTCGTGCTCTCTGGTCCTGTATATGTTGATAGTCAAGATCGCATCCCGCGCCAGCTAGGCCCTAAATCCCATTTCCTGTGGTCGATCACATCCACTACCACTCGTCGCCGAAATGTTCCCAACTTTCGATGTCCCTCCCCAGCATGCCGAAACGGTAGGAGCTCGCAAGCATAGGAAGGCAAAGGAGGACGAGGCCACCAGACGCTCTTCGACTGCCACATCACAGTCGTCAGGGAGCAACCGAAGCGTAAGGGCTGAGTCCAGTGCCTCCAGCAAGAAGGGTGGCTTTGGCTGGTTTGGCAAAAGTAAAGGTGTTCAAGAGATACCCAAGGTTCCCACCTTGAAGACCCAAATCTCAGAGCCATTACCGCCGCCGCCTGCTCCAGCAGCTGCTCCACCGTCGCAAGAAACGCCGTCCCCTGTCGTCACCTCTCCTACCAGCGAGCTTGCTCCTCACGTCCGAGAGAGACGGCCATCACAGCGTTCCAATTCTGATCTCCAATATCAACATCAGCAACGCTTCCATGTCCCACCGCCGTTGCAATCGCTTCCACCTCCGCCCACAAGTGCTCTCCCACAGTTGCCATCCCCCGGTCTGAGCTCACGAGGTACGTGCATGAATCCCCTGCTCGTGATCTGCGAAAACGACACGATTGCGCGCGCAACGTTGCTTGCCCAATAAATGCTTTGTCCCAAGATCTGAGAGAAAGACCAACGGCGTTCAAGACCCAATAATCGCGAGTCAAACCCGCTGCTGTGCCTCAGCTAACTCCTGTCACAGGAAGGATCGACACGGGGCGGCCCTTGTACGATGCTGATCGCGTCAAGTCATCCTACTCCACACTCTCACATAATTCCTACAGCACATCAACCACATCGTCTACTCGCACTGGCTTTTCGAACCAGAGCATCTTCTCGCAGCCTTCACGCCGACATAATGATCTCCTGTCAGAGGACAGCAATTATGGTGACGACCACTCGCCTATCTCCAAAACACCTTCTCCTGTAACCACTCCTCCTACTTTCGTCGATAGCAGGCGACTGCCACCATCCCGACAGACTATCGATTCTACGTATGCAAGTAACATCCAGATGGAGCCTATTGAGTCGCGCACTGGCAGCCGCATGAGCGATGGCCCGTCCAGGGCTGCCCAAGGACCCTTCACCCGTGCCCTAGGGAAGATGGAGAGCGCCGGCGCCCGCATTGTCTCTGCAAGGTTGAGCGAAGAGTGGGAAGGTTTGGATGATGATGATGAGAGTCTTCAGGAGGTCATCTTTGAGAAACGCCTCTGGGCTCTGACAGCCTACCAGCGCTTGACACAGAACAAGCAGCTTCAGTCTCCTGCCCACGATCTGCTCGCCAACAGCCGACCGGCTGAACAGAGGAGGATTTTGCAGCTCTACGGCAACCTTGCTGACGGTTGGGTGTTGGCCACACGTTATCCTGCTGCGACTGTCTACACGCTTTCTTCAGCGAACACCTCGAACCTCCCGACATCACACCCTGCACCGTTGAACCATCACTCATTGTTCTCCCCTTCAATCTCATCAGCGATGCCATTCCCTGACAACTACTTCGACGTAGTTGTTTCACGCTTTGTCTCTACGTCACTACGCAACGATGAATGGGCACGCTCTTTCTTCGACTGCATGCGTGTGCTCAAGCCTGGAGGCTCCATCGAGATTCTCTCTGTCGATGCTCACATGAATGGTGAAGGACCTCAGCTTCAGAGTTGGGTCGACGAGCATATCACTTGCAGGCTCGAAGCACACAGCATTAGCATGGTTCCATCCGAGAGCGTCCTCGACACGATGGAGATTGTTGGTCTCGAGAACATCCGTCGCGCCCGGGTCGCACTTCCCGCGTACCTTGGCTCAACTAAGGCCGTCGCACGGGCAGCACCCAGTAGTAATAGCCTCCCTAGCATATCGCCGCAAGATGTCGTTGATGCCAGCCGCATGATGGCGTACCTTGGGCGCCACTTCTACCAGGATCTTTACGGAAAGTTCGTGCGCATCTCCCAAGGCGAAGAGTGGTTCTGGAACCGGAAGGACATTCGGGATGAGTGTGAGAAGTACCAGACAAAGATGGTCCTCACCATTGCATGCGCCCAAAAGCCAGGTGCGGCTGCGAGCCACGAGAGCTACCTCAACATCTAGATGGAACCCCATCGGCTTCTGATCAGCATTTGCTATATTCTGCATGCTCTGGTTAGCAGCTGCATCACTTTATTTTAGATCCTGTACAGCACCAACCCTGTTCGTTCTTCGTTTCTTACATGATACCACTGATAGACATACTTTCCTTATCTTGACACGCAACTTGTACACGTGGGTAATTACATATCTGGGTACCGAAAATTCTCAATATCGCTGGAACGTTCTGCATCTGTACCTGTAATCATCAATACAGAAGCTACTGCAACTTCGATGCAACGCTACTGTGCACTCATCCCCTACTACCATCTCCCACCATCTTATCTGACTGTTTCGGCCGCACGCTACGCAATCCGTACCGAGCGTATCCGCAGGCTTGGGGGATGTGTTCCTATTGGCTCGGGCTGCCAGCCATCCGAACGCGGCAGAGATCTACTCTACTGCAGTGCAGAGGCAGGGCACGCTGATCTTAGAACCCCAGCAAGCCACGGGCGCAAGCTTAGGCACGCCAAAGTCAGACTGCTTTAGCAAAGGATGCACATGCAGGCTCGATCATCGATCAAGCCTCTTTCTTTTTCCGTCCTTGCTGCAGATGACTTCGACAAATACTCTGCATGCCGGAGCCTTGGGTCCGATGCAGTGAAGTCGTGCTCAGACCGAGAGATGACACTGTACGTGGTATCTTCCGGGCGTAACTCAGCCACTGCCAATCTGTGGGAATAAGGCAACACAGATGACGGTACTTGCCATATCTAATCATTCCTAGTAGAAGAGGATTCATCCCATATACCAAATGCTTTAGCATTGACAACTCGAGGGTAAGCGCCCTGGTCTTGGCCAGGCTTATCCCCGTAGCCTCGGTGCGAAGGAATGAACTTGGGCAGCGGAGAATACTCCAAAGCCCTGCACATCAGCCCCACTTCTGCAGCAGAGCTGCAGCAGAGCTGCAGCAGCCACTTTCAGCCAGCGAGGCCTCGCCTACGAAAAACGTCGGCTTGGCATGCAGCTCACCCAACTTTGATAACTCGACACGTGCGTGCAGATCTCTAGATTGCAGGGTTCAGGCACATTCAAAAACATCATCATGGAACGGGATCTGGAATGTGAAACTCTGTGATGGCACATTTAATCTATTCTGCTACTGTTGAAGGATTGACATGTGAGAATGATAGCATGAGGTGTTATGTTTGGACAAGGACGTTGGGATTGGATCCACCCCCGCAGCCGTCGTTTCGAGACGCGAAATGGAGTATTCTGACGTTGAAGCAGCCCGCTGTCGTTGGCGATCAGTGTCGAACTCTGTGCGTTGGATCGACAAGATGCATGCATGGGCATTGGGCACCCACCGACAGAGAAGGGCTGGCACATACCATCCAAGTCTTTTGCAGGTAAGGCAGGATTAGGAACATCCCTCCAACCACACTATATTGAACACGTTCTTCGTTCATCTTCTGCTTCAGCTCGTGGGTTGTTGGGCTCCTTGCTCATTTACCATTACCTTGTCGACTTGGCGATCCCTTCAATGTCTCTTGAAGGTTGGTCGCCGACTACCTATTGCCGAAGTTGCCGTCAAAGACACTGCCACGAGGGCTGCACGCGCAATGACACTCATCTATCCAAGACGCTTTCTCTACCTTCCTAGATAAGGACTCTCCGTCATCTTGAACCACAATCCTTCAATGCATGATTCCGTTGAGATGTCGACAACAGGCTTTACTCCGAACAGGCAGTATCCGTCGTCCCTGTTGAACGTCAGTGATACTTGGCACTTTAGTTACTCAGCACAACAGGCGTGTGCGTATGGACTTTTACAACTGCTAGCACGACTACGCTTCCACTCATTGGTCATGGACTCACCGTGCGGACCCGGAAAGGTTCCAACCCTGCACGTGGCAAGCCTATCCTCAGCAAGAGAGACCTCATAGACAACGTCTCATGAAGCTGTTACGTCCTGACACTCTGTGATACTATCGATGAGCCTTACCAAGGCTGCTGCACGTCGGCAAGAGTCACTGTTGGTCGCTGCAAGCAAAAAGGCTCATGAGACAGTAAGAAGCCGAGTGTATAAAGACTTTGCTGTCAGCGTTGCAAACTGCATCCATCGAATCTATTGCTCTCTGGATACCTCCTGTTCTACAGTCAGCTACAGAATGTGCTGGACCTGCTCTCTCGCCTCCATGCCACATCTTTGCCATCTCCAGTGACAAGATATTCTCCTCCCAGGTCCTCGGCGATCTCGAAGACATGCTTGCTGGCTAGGGCGACGTATAGGACGAGTTCGACATGCTCATACTTGACAAATTTATCGCGTTGGACGAGGACAAGTGCCACTTCGTCTACCAATTCATGAACGCCACGGGCGCGACCAACGTTGTCGAAGCGGGCACCAGCTTTGGAGTTATTACGATCTCCTCGCTTAAGCTACTGGCCAGACTAAGACGGTAACTGGCAAGAAGCGCACGGTTGCTACATACAAAGAGCCACAGCAAGCTGCCATTGCACACGGCTACTGGAAGGAATGTGGACTCGAAGAGCACATTGATTTTGGCGTCAGCAACTTGCCTAAGACTCTGAAGGACGATGTGCCAGAGGCCGACCTGCTGCTGCTTAACAGTAAGCGCCATGCCTCAATGTCGATAGATCGCTGACTCTAGTCTGGTCAGCACTCACGCTCCTGACGCTAGAGACCATCTTGCCCAATTGAAGGCACGGCGCTGTTATCCTAACTAACAACGCTATCCCAGGTGCTAGAGGCTATAAGGACCTTTTATTGTTCTTGCGCGCACCAGAGAACAGCTTCCAGACCACGACTTTGCCATACGTCAACGGCTTCGAGATGAGCGTGTATCTGCCCGACAGGCAAGTCTGGGGTTGTCGCTGAGCTGTTTAGTCACGACGCGTGATGGATACCTGGAGGAACTCGAGACTCTTTTGCGCGAACGTCAGGGCAACAGCGAGTATTTGACCGAGTCCTGAGCACGTCCTCCACACGGCATTCCTCGACGTTGGTCCAGGCTTTTCGCAATCTTAACAGTTCCTTGTTTATCTTCCTTCCTGCGAGTCAGTGGCTCTACACGATACCAACACCTACTTTTCCATGCAGCCTGCGATTGCGATACTGTGCCCGAAATCCATCTGATTACATATCTGAAGAATTGCAATGGCATTCTACGCGAGGTGTCAGGAGAACTGTTGCCGGGACGCTAGGCATCTCACCCGTCACCGTGGAAACTGGCATCCACAAGACGTAAACAGACAAAGCGCAGTAGCGCCGGCCACTAGCTTCCACCCCGTCCACACCCACGCTCGTCCGCGCAGCATCTTGGGAGACTCCACCGACTTTGCGCAGGCGCGTCTAACCCTACAAGACACACCAGAGCCCATAATGTACAGATATACAGCGGGCACGCCGTGTCCTGCGCCTTCAAACGCATCATTCCCCAGCAGTCGTTACTATGATTACGGACATCCTTCGTCTGTTTACGCGCCGAGCCACGTCGAGGACGGCACGACGGCAAACATTGAGTTCACGACCGAGATACAACCAAAGCCGCGCACTGTCAAGCCACGCCGACCGACACGCGCCTCGCGCCTGGCGACGTTCAATCCCGGCCTGGACATCTTCGAAGATGTCGCGCACGAAGAAGAGCAGCAGCAACGCCATGCAGAGGTGGACACACGGAGAAGGAGTCGCGCGCCAGCCATGCCTGAGTACGCGCGAGTAAGGAAGAGCACGTTGCTGGCGCAACCGGCACAGAAGATTCCAAGGGCGCCGCCATCGGCCCAAGAGCCTCCCGTTCTCAAGTCGCATCGCAAGCGCCTGTCACAGGTCTTGATGGAGAGGGAGTCACTCCACGTAGACGCGACAATCGAGCTGCAGGAACATCTGCTGGAGAAGAAGGAGCTTAAGAGAGGGCCCAAGAAGGACCCGCGCCGCAGGACCATCTACGTGCCTTCAGACGACACGACCTACCTCACGATCCACCCGGGACAGTCGGTGCACGAACCGCGCAAAGCTCGAGAGACATCGCCCGACATTGGGCTGGACCTGGTCACGGTCTCAGACGAGGACACCACAAGCCTGGTCTCGGCGCTGAAGAAAGAGAAGAGGGTCACGCGCAAGGCCCTGGGTGCGGCGCCCAAGCGGGGGCCGCTGAGCACATCTTCGCGATCACTCCAGAGCGTCTCGTTCTCGAGCGATGTCGCAGGCTCTGGCGACGGCAAGGAGAATGTCCCACCAGGCACGGCCATTGTCGAGCAGAAGAGCACCGGCACGCACATTGAGATCAGCTTCCCAAAGGCATTGACCAAGAGCACTAATGTAGCTGAACCGCCCAAGGTCCGGGTCAAGAGCTCTGATGCGACGTCATCGGTGAAGTCTGAGGCTCGGTCTCGAGCCAGGCCAGAGGTGCGGACAAGACCGGAAGGCTCAGCGCAGAAGAGGTTGCGCGAACAGGTCAGCCGTGAGCACATGCCAACAAGCACCAAGTCGATCAAGTCTCGAGCAGACGGCACAGCCTCCGCAGCCAGCAGTCTCGCAGCACACAAGGCAGCTCTCAAGGAACACAACGCAGCCATCAAGAATGCGAAGCCCAGGATCACGAAGACGCGCCCAGTCTTACCTCCCTCGTCTTCGCCGTTCCACACCGACAAGACCCCGCCTGCTGCTCTGCGCCGCCAGAAGCCCGAACGTGCGCCCGCAGGCATCCAGATGATATCCGTCGTCGGAAAGCCGGAGCGGAAGTCGCGCGAGAAGTACCCCGTGCTCAAGGAGGACATTGCGCGACCAGAGATGTACGAGGACAACTGGCTCACGTATCAGGAGGTCGCCATCACACAGCTGTTGAACTCGATGTTCGACGCAGCCAACGCCAGTCCCAATGACGAGCAACCGCCAGAAGAACTGAGGAGGAGGATGCTTGCCTTGTACCATGAGCCATCAATGCCTCCCCTGCACAAGCGACTGCAGGCTTCTCTGCAGTTTGGGGCTCTGAGCATACCCAAGGACCTGCTGACTCAGACGTTGCGACTCAAGGACGATGTGGGGGTGAGGAAGAAGTTTCTGACGCTTTGGACTAAATCCTACGATCTCACGGCCCTCCGGGCAGCAGCTGAGGCTATCGTGGGACGTCAGATCACGACTCCGTCTCGTCTTTCAACCGGGTCAACCGCTTCCGACGACGGGTCGCGCATGCTCCGTGCTGAGCGACGAGCTATCGAGCATTTCTTGGACGCCTTTCTCATCAAGAATGACGATGCGGTCCGCGTCAAGCCGGGAGTCGGCAGCATCGCCAGCATCACACGGGGCGACGATGACTTTGGATCGCAGGGCTGGTCGTGGAGACGCACTGCGCTACGCAGTCTGATGCTTGTGCTGCTGCTCGATCAGGCCAAGAACGCCGACGTGCTGCCCGGCTGCCTGTTCCAGTCGACGTCGTCCTACAAAACGTCTGTTGACGTGCTCCACCAGCTCTCTACAATGCTTCTCCCATCGCACGGCGACATCACACGACCGCTTGGCCACCTTCAGTACAGGGTCGAACACGTGCAGTATCCGCTTCAGGAGTATACCTACCATATCGAAAACATTGCTGTCGATGTTCGGGACGGCATCGTTCTCACTCGGCTGGTGGAGCTGCTCTTGTACCCGTCCAGGAGCCAGCACGACGAGACCGTCACCATCTCCATGCCCAGCGGCGAACTCTTGACTTGGGACACGACCCAAAAGGACAGCTGGGCGCTCTCGCAACACCTCAAATACCCAGCCATCGGCCGCGCTCAGAAAACCTACAACGTCCAGGTCGCCCTCTCAGCGCTCGAAGGCGTCCGTGGTCTGCCCAGCCAAGCGGCAGGCGCCATTTCGGCCTCGGAGATTGTCGACGGTCACCGCGAGAAGACGCTCAGCCTCCTGTGGTCGCTTGTCGGCAAGCACGGTCTCGGCAGCCTGGTCGACTGGCCGCACATTGTGCAGGAGACGCAGCGGTTCAGAGCGCAGTGGTGCGCACGGCACACCAAGTTCGCGGAAGACGACCTCGACTCGGACAGCGGCAGCGGCAGCGGCAGCGGCAGCGACAGCGACAGCGACTCTGCGCCGCAGAAACCTGGCCTGGACCACTACGCCGCCCTCCTGCTGAGCTGGGCGCGCGCAATCGCCCGCCTGCACGGCCTCTGCGTCGCCAACCTGACCACCTCCTTCGCCGACCCCAGAGTCCTCGAACACATTGTCGACGAGTATCTCCCCGTCGACACGTACCTCCCCGCCGCACCCGCGGGCAAGCCGAGCCTCGCAGCCAAACTCGCAGCCGCGGGCTGCTCGCCCTCATTCATCGCGCTCTTGACTCCTTTGCGCGCCTCCGCCCGCTCAATCCCCAGCAGCGACTTTACGCTCCTCGCCCTCGCCTTCCTGGCCAGCAGACTGCTGCCCCTCAGCGCCCGGCACCGCGCCGCGCGCACGATCCAGACGCAGTTCCGCCGGTTCGCGATGCGGCGCCAGGTGGCGGCGCGGATTAGCGCGCTGCGGATCGCGCACGCGGCGGCGCGGGTGGCGCGCGAGAGGACAAGGGTGCAGGCTGCTGTGGTGGTGCTGCAGCGCCGTTGGAGGGCGGTGCTGGATGCGAGGCAGATCCGGCTCGAGGGCAGGGTCGCGGCGTTCCAGGGCCTGGCGCGCGGGTGGGCGGTGCGCAGGTGGGCGCGCAGAGCTACTGCGGGCCGGGTCGGGGGAAGGGAGAGGGTGAGAAGGGTTAGGGGCGGGTGGTGAGCGGCCATGTCTGGGCCGTGTGCTCGATGCTGTGCTTTTTGGGTTTGCTTCTTGGCCGGCGCTGTTCGATATCTTGTCCCGGGGTTGTGAATCGCATTCCCATTCCCATTCCCATCTCCAACGCATTCTGTCTTGTCTGCTGTGTTGTGTGTGCTGTGTTGTGTGTGCTGTGTTGTGTGCGCTGTGTTGTGTGTGCTGTGTTGTGTGTGCAGTGTGTGCTGTGCAGTGTGTGCTGTGCAGGCTGTGTCGAGGTACACCCCGGATCAGGGGGGCGGTTAAGGTCAAGTTAAGAAGAACATGGACGCGGACGTGGACGTGGATGAGGATGAGAAAGAGGGTGAGAATAGGATGAGAATGAGAATTGCAACTGCGCGCCGCGCATGGTATGGCATGGCATGGTATGGTGTGGTGTGGTGTGGTGTGGTGTGGTGTGGTATAGTGTGGTGTGGTATGGAATGTTATGGTATGGAATGGTACGGTGTGGTACAGTGTGGTATAGAGAAAGCGCTGAATCAAAGAAAAAGAAAAATACTAGTCAAACCCATGCCCACACAAAAAGCGTCGTTGGCTCCGCTCGTCTACACGCTGCGCTCCGGACTCTCTCCCTCGGCCACCACAGCAACACCCAGCCCGCGATCGGGGCTCTGCAGAACCAACTGCTCATGTCTCCTCGCCCTCACAAAATCACTAACGCTCTTAATCAGCACAAACCAACCGACAATCATCAGTCCATAGGCAAGCCAATCACTACCCGTCACGCTCGAGCCCGCAGACGCCTCGCCGTCGGACCCCGTCCCCAGCGCCGCCGGATCAAACGAGTGCGCATCCGGGTCAGCAGGAACCGCGCCCGAGAAGTCCTGGCCGGCGTCACTTCCGCCCGAGGGATTGAGCCCAGCCGAGCGAAAGCCGAAGCCAAACTGCACCAGCGTGATGCCCAGCCCCGCGCGCGACCCGTTCTTGGCGGCGTGCGTCGTGTGCAGGAGATATGTCAAGAGGAAACCGACGAGCTGGAAGGACATGCTGATCAGCGCGTTCCAGATGAAACTGAACAGCGACCCCACGGGCAGGCCCTCGACAAAGACCTCGTCGCCAAACGCGCCAGGGGCTAGGATCGTGGTTTCCCAGTACGGCGGTGTGGCGTCGGCGGCGGCTTGCTCGTATGTCTGCGGGTTGGGTTAGTCATGCTGTAGGTGGGAGGTGGGAGGTGAGAGGTGAGAGGTGAGAGGTGAGAGGTGGGAGGTGGGAGGTGGGAGGTGAGAGGTGGGAGGTGAGAGGTGGGAGGTGAGAGGTGAGAGGTGAGAGGTGAGAGGTGAGAGGTGAGAGGTGGGAGGTGAGAGGTGGGAGGTGAGAGGTGGGAGGTGAGAGGTGAGAGGTGAGAGGTGAGAGGTGAGAGGTGAGAGGTGGAAGTGGAAGTGGGAGGTGAGAGGTGAGAGGTGAGAGGTAGGAGGTGGAAGTGGAAGTGGGAGGTGAGAGGTGAGAGGTAAGAGGTGGTAGGTGAGAGGTGACAGGTGGTAGGTGACAGGTGGTAGGTGAGAGGTGAGAGGTGAGAGGTGAGAGGTGGAAGTGGAGGTGGGAGGTGAGAGGTGAGAGGTGAGAGGTGGAAGTGGAAGGGGGAGGTGACAAGTGAAAGGGGGAGGTGACAAGTCAAAGGGGGAGGTGACAAGTCAAAGGGGGAGGTGACAAGTCAAAGGGGGAGGTGACAAGTGAAAGGGACATGCGCACCGGAGGCTTCTCCTCGACGTCCTCGCCGCGGGTGGGCTTGGCGCTGAGGTTGGCCCACACGCCGCCGTTGCCGCCGCCGTAGACGCGCCCGCTCGCCGGCGTCTGCGTGTTGAACGTCGGCAGCTCCGTCGTGCGTCGCTGGATGCCGGGCGGCGTCGGGGCGGCGTCGTCGTCGTCGGGCTGGGGATTCCCGCGCATCAGCCGCTGGCGGTCGTCGCGGCCGTCCGCGTCCTCGTCGTCGTCCGAGTCCGAGTCGAATGTGTCGGCGAGCGTGCGGTCCTGCGCGCGGTCGGGGGTGCGGCCTGCATCGAGTGTGCGGCCTGCATCGAGTGTGTGGCCTGCATCGAGTGTGTGGCCTGCATCGAGTGTGTGGCCTGCATCGAGTGTGCGGTCTGCATCGAGTGTGCGGCCTTCAAGCGCGTCTTGCGAGCGGTCTTCAGGGCGGCGCGCCGTCGGCGACGAAGCGCGACTGCGGAACGACGGTGGCGGCGACGCGGGCGGCCACTGCTGCGGCCTTGATTCGGGCGACTCGCCGTCGGCATCGGCGTCGTCTGTGTGCGCGACCTGCTGCTGTCAGTGTGCGGCGCGCGGTGCGATGCGGGTCGGACGACGCACCCTTTCGTAGCCTTGGCGAGGCATCGCGGGCCCCGGGTGTCGTGTGTCGAGTGTGTGTCGTGTGTCGTGTGGCGTGTGTGTATGAGAGCGTGAGTGTATGAGAGCGTGAGTGTGTATGAGTGTGTGAGAGTGTATGAGAGTGTGAGTGTGTATAAGAGTGTGAGTGTGTGCGTGCAAGAGTCGGGAGCGAGGCCGAGGGCGGCGGCGTGCGAGCGTCGCGAACGGTGGTGTATGTGCGACAGTGGTGTGAGCGGCGGATGGGTCTGGTGCAGTCGAGCGGCGAGGAGGTTGTCAGCTCCGCGTGGTCGACAGCGCCCGCCCAAGAGCGGAGCAGCCGTCCCGTAGGTAGTGTGGCGCAGCGCCTCGAAAGCAGCTAGCGCGTCCTGTCTCTCCAACGCTCGCTTGCCAATCCCGGCGTCATCGACCGCGGTCTGCAATCTACAATAGTCTACAATAGTCTGCAAAGGGTTACAACAGTCTCCAACAGTCTGCAGCAGTCTGCAACAGTCTGCAAAATTCTACAACAGTCTACAACAGTCTGCAAAAGTCTGCAAAAGTCTGCAACAGTCTACTCTACAACAGTCTGCAACAGTCTACTCTACAACAGTCTACAACAGTCTGCAACAGTCTACAACAGTCTGCAACAGTCTGCAACAGTCTACAATAGTAGCTTGGGTGCACGCAGCATCTTCACCCCCAGCATGGCAGCCACAGTGCGTACCTGCCCAGCGCCCAAACGCCGTGCAAACACTGACTACAAACAAAGGTCGCAAAGCAATACACGCGCCTCCTGCGCGTCTGGCCGGCCGACGCCCTCCGCCCCAACCTGCCCTTCACACGCGCAATCGAAGCGCGCGCCCTCCCCTACGGCGTAGCGCCCCTCAACGACCCGCGGGATTCCGCACGCACGCCCGGGAAAACCTCAGCAGCGCCGTCCCCCGCCGACGTCCCCGCGACAACGGCGCAGACGCACGCAAACGCCTCGCCCGCCCAGGAGACCGCCCAGCTCACCGCGCTCTTCTCGCTGCTGGAGAACCGCTATGCAAACCGCTATCCCCTGAGCCAGGCGGTGTTCCGGCCCCGCAGCGCCCCGGAGCACTACGATACGCTCATGGCCGAGATTGAGCGCGCGCCGGGGAAGACGTGGTGGCAGGCCAAGGTCGACGAGTGGAAGATGATGATCCGGTGGAAGTAGACGGTGGGAGGTGGATGATTGTGTGAGCGGGTGGGTGTGTGGTATGTGTGTGAGCGGGTGGGTGTGTGGTATGAGTCTGAGCGGGTGGGTGTGTGGTGTGAGTCTGAGCGGGTGGGTGTGTGGTATGTGTCTGAGCGGGTGGGTGTGTGGTATGAGTCTGAGCGGGTGGTATGTGTCTGAGCGGGTGGGTGTGTGGTGTGTGTCTGAGCGGATGGGGTGTATGGTATGTGTATGAGCAGATGGGGTGTACGGTATGTGTCTGAGTGGATGGGGTGTACGATATGTGTTTTACATGTGCATCGTGGGTGCGTGCGTGCGGGCTTTGGGTGCGCGAGGCGAGGTACAGCACTACAAGGCGAGGCACAGCACTACGAGGCGAGGTGCAGCACTACGAGGCGAGGTGCAGCACTACAAGGCGAGGCACAGCACTACGAGGCGAGAGGAATCTGCTCTTAAAAGAAGCACGACTACGAATCAAGACATAAACCACGTCACCATAAAACTTGGAAATGTCGCACGCCGACTCCAACAAACGGCGCAATCGTCCGTGAGACAGACCAGCACCGCATGCACACACTCTACATCGCGTCGTCCTCGTCCGGCCTTCAGCTGCACGCGGAAGCGGCTCGGACGCGACGAGCAACGTGTCAGGCGTCGTGCACGCTCGCAGCTATCCAGACAGCCCCGTCTTCCCCGCAAAGGTACTAAGGCGTCGGCGACTGCAAGCGCAATTCATCTTTCGCGAGGCTATACTGAGCAGCAGGAATGGGTCTGGTCGCTGAGCTCCACCTTAGGCCGCGAAGTGTGGCTTCACACAAGAGAACAGACAGGGAAGGGGGGACGGGGCACGGGGCACGGGGCACGGGGAACGGGGATATCATTAGTCTTGCAGCGTCTACGCAGCCGACGACGCGAACAGCACTCTCCGCGCGTTGCCCATGGTCAGACTCTTCAGCCCGCTGCCGCTGCTCTCCATGCCCTCGAGCAGCCGGCCCATGCCGCCGAGGTCGAGCTCGCCGCGGGTCAGCAGCGCCTGGTCTGCTCGTCTGCTGTCTTCTTCCTCGGCTGGCGTCGCCGCAAACAGATCGCGCTCCACGCTTTGGTTCGTGCTCGCCGAGATGATGAGGCGATGCTCCGCTGCAATCAGCACGTCTCTGCCAATGGCCATGCGGGATGCAGCCGTGGTTGTGTCGAATTGCTGTATCGATGTGATGGCCTCGCCCAGCAGCGGGAGGTCGTGGATCTGTGTCAAGCCAGGGCCTGGCAGAGACTGGCCGCGGCCAGCAGAAGCGTTCCGTGTCCAGAACTTGGTGAGGTCCGCGATCCTGTATACTTCCGAGCCGTACCAGATGACGACGGAGTCTTCACACGCTGTGCCGTTCGGCGAGGAGCTTGAGGCAACGGATACACCGCCACGTATCGGCACTGCACTGCCAGATGAGCTGCCGTGGAAGAGATCGTCTTCCTTCCTGCGACGGGTGTTGGGTGTCATTGGCGCAAGTGAGCTCCGGCTGCCGCGCTTGGGGCTGGACGGGCCGCTGCTGCTGCTTTCCCTCTCGCTTGAACCGACGAACCCGCGCAGAGAAAACGCTGCAGGGTCCGTGGGCGAGCTGGGTCCGGAGCGATCGCAGTCCCACACTCCCCACTCTCCATCTGCCAGCAGCGCCAGAATATGCCGGCCATCAGACGCCCACGCTGCATCCACGATCGCTTTCCGCGTCGCGAGGATAGGCGGTGTGAGCGAACTGCTCTTCACGCCTTCAAACGAAGACTTGAACATGGTGACAAAGGCTCCACGCTCTGCCTGCCCGCTCGCGCTGCGCTTACGGCTTGTGGCCGCGAATGCGTCGTAGACCCGCGCAGTGCCTGTGAGGTCGGTAATGAGGAGCTGGGAGTGGCGGCGCTTGGGGTACTGCGCCGTGTTGAAAGCAATGCTGGAGGCAGGCTTGCGCAGTGTGACGGATTTGTAAGGCGCGATGGGGTGCGCGCCGTTGACAGAGGTTTCGGTGAGCTCGAAGCGCCAGATTTTGAACAGCCCTCCAAGCTCGGCCGAATGAGTAGCCACCAAAATGTCGAAACCAGGTGCAGTGGCGGGTCGTGAGTGGGATCGGCCCTGTTGCTTTCTGCGCGCCCGCCCTGGAGTTCTGCCCGCAGTGCCCTCGCCGTCCACGTCCATGTCATCGTCGGATTCGTTCTCTGCGCTCGGCTCTCCTCTTGACGTCCACGTCATGGAAACGCCTCGTGCAATGCTCTGGTGCCCATGGAACTTGACCACCTCTTCGCCATACTGCGACTTTGCGCTCAGTGGCTTCGCCTTCGCCGAGTGTGGTGGAGGCGACAGCGGCAGAGTGACGATGCGTATAGTGGCATCGGCGCAGGTGGCGGTGAAGATTAGCTTCTTGCCAAAGATGGCTGGTATTGTGTCTGCAGCCCGCAGAGCGGAGGCAGTGGGAACTCCTGGGACGGCGATGTGCAGGACACTAGTGTTGAAGGAGAGTCGGATCTGCTGTACAATGGACGGGTAGGGCTGATCTGGATCAAGCTCTTCCTCTTCATCCTCAAACTCGGCTTGCGGCATCGACTGCGCCGGGGCTGGCTCGTCCTCGTCCGAGTCGATGATCATAATGGCATCGTTGCTGGCGCCATTGACCTTCTGTGGCTTCTGTGCCTGCTTGGGTGCTGGCCCGGGATTCTTCAGCGGTCGTCCTCCCCTCCAAATGATGCTAATGCCGGTGTCGTGCGCGTAGAGCAGGATGGTCGAGCCATTGGGAGCTTTGACGGGGTAGATCGCAGCTTCGTGAACGCGCTGTGGGAGCTCATATCTGTCGACAAAGTCAGTGCATGAGTCGCAGAATTCGGCAGAAGCCATGACTACCTCAGCTGTGTCAGCTTGCCCTTGGTGGTTGCAACGGGCTGCATGGTGGAAGCTTGCGCTTGGGCTCGAGTGTCGACGACCGCTCGCCTTGACGCAGTCCACTTCACGTGACTGATGCTTAAATCTGGATACAAATCACGGGTCTTATTGCCAAGTGACCACTGACGGCAAATCACGAGCTGTTTGGTCGTGTTGAGGGTCGAGGTGAAGAATCTCGGAGGTCCGCAGATCAAAGGGAAAGCGCGACCTTGCGCGTCACTCACCATACATACCTACCGTAGCGCGCCGCCCGCAAACAAACAACCCCACCACCCGCCTTCTCGCACCCACAGCGCCCTCATGCCGCGAAACAAGCCTCCGCATGGCCTCTCTTCGCTCAATCGGGGTCCATAAGCCCGCCGCATTGCAGTACCTGGTCACCGAGGGTATTCTCCACGAAGACTGCACCGAGCGCGACTATGTCTGGGACACCTACGCCGACGAGAGTCCAGAGGGGCAGGCAGATGAGGTAGTCACTACCGACCACCATGTCGTCTGGTCGCGGGGCGGCATAGTCCGCAAGGTCTTCAACTTTGAGATCGAGAAAGAAAAGGTCATCCAGGCGCTGCTCACCTGGTTTCCTCTGGAGGCCGCCTCGCATAGTCTTGGGCGAACGAGACAGCACGAGCAGTCAAAGGCTTTCCTTGCTCAAGGCACGCAACCAGTTGCAGACCTGGACGCGGAAGCAGAGGATGCGGGGAGCGTCTCCGAAACCAGGGCGCGGGCACTGGTTGTGTTCCTCAGGTCCCAAGCCCATGTCTTTTTCCTCTCTGGAACCGCACATATTGTGAACCTTCCCTTTGAGGTTGACAAGGCTTTCCCAGCGGCGCGCGGCGTTGTGGTGCAGAGGAAGATTGCGCCCCTCATACATGCGTCTTCCAGCCCGCAGGTGCCTATGGCGCCTCCCAATTCCTTCATGACCAACGATCAGTCGTTCCTTTCACAGAGCCTCTCGCAAAGTCTATCCCAAAGTCTTTCGCATACTCACCGTCGCAACAACTCGTCCATCGCTACAGCGCGGCCCAACAAAGTTCAACAGAATGGATTCCTCGACGGCCTCATCAAGTCTGCTGCGGCGCCCAACACGGAAGGTCTCCCAAGGCTGTTCTCGTTCACAGATCCTTTGTCAGAGCTTGGACTGGTCGTCAACGTACTTTTGGGTGGTGAGCGCAGCAGTATGCTTCTGAGAAATGGCGAGGACAATCGGAGACTAGAAGCTATCGACAAAGCCGAGGAGATCATCTACGTTTCTCCGCAAAATGAAGTCGTGTTTGATCGCAGTGGCAGCGATAAGCCTCTTTTGCTGGTCGTCACAGCAAACTACGAGACGAATGTATTTACCATCTGGTGGGCGACCTACCTCGAGTCCAAATCTATCTCAGCTTCTCGTAAACAACACGCACCTGTGCCACTATCCAAAGTTCGCCGACGAAGCTCCCACGGTGCTACCTCGACAGGAACAGGCGCGACTACCCCTGCAATCCGAGGTGCAGACCGACTCCGGGAGAGCATCGGCACACGCAGCAAACCACCCGTGCCATCCTTCAAAGATGTCTCACAGACAAAGGGTAGGTTGACGGACCAAGCGGTAGACGATGTGCTCGCTTCGCAACTCAATCCCGACTTCAACATTGATCGACTGCCGAAAGAGTCTCGACGTGTCAGCTCACTGCTCTCGCGAGCTGAGTTGTCAACGAGTTTCGACAAATCAGCGTTCCAGGATCTGGCAACAAATCGCACAAGTATTGGCGGTAGCTTTGGAGCCAGCCAAAGGAGTCGGCGCTCGCTGGGCCACGATCGCTCGAGCTTCGGAGGTTCGCAGTCCCGCAATCGAGCATCAACGCCTGGTAGCATTGCATCCCGGAGAAGCTTCTTAGACATTGACGACACAATCGACGACACTATGGAAGAGAGCCAGTACGACCTCATGGACGACTACGATGAGGTGGATAACCTGTTCTCACCACCTGAAGCGGGCGCCGAGGCCCAACCGACCGATGGGTTGCGAAAGGAGCTGCTGATGGAAGCGGTCGGCGAGATACCGGCTATGCAGTATTTGAAGCCCGGCCTCTTCGCGTTGAATGATCCAACGGCAGCTACGCAGGTAGGACCCTCATACTTTCCAAGACATTCTTGGACGTGACCATGCTGACTAGAAACAGACAGCTGAGCGTCCGAAAGTTCTGACACTGAACGCACCATTCAACTCTGCATCTCTAGACAAGCGGATGCTTTACCTTTACATTTCGCACCCTTCTATCACTGCGCCCTTGCAATGCGACATCTCGGTTTCAAGGAAGCGCCTAAGGGTCCCAGCATCAACCCAACGCCTTCAACCTAGCAGCGATGTCCACAGATACGCATGCTGCCCAAGACTAGCGAAATTCGGTCCCGTTGCCAACGCCACCGATCTTGTCAAAGTAAGAGCTGGCCATGTAGAGAGGGTCGCGATGCTCAACTCTTTGGGCACCGCGGACGCTAGCATATCTCTGACTGCAGGCTGGGGTACTCATCTCCCTGCAAAGCTTGATTTGGGGCCTTTCAAGCTCTTTGATCCAAATGCTATTTTGAATGACGGACAACGAGCCTCAGCAGGCCTCAAGAGGACCATCACTCCTAAACATCCTCTTCGGCAGCTCACATCGTCTGGGCAAGCAGGCCAAGTCGATGTAGTTGACTCAGATTGGCGGAGACACCGTGTGGAGATTGGCCTCGCACCTACAAACGGCTTTGTCCGTGAGCTGTTCCGTGTGTTGACCACCATTCTGCCCGAATACGCCGGAGACTTCCTCCTGCAGATCTGGTGGCACATCCGTAAAGCACTGCCAAGTCACACACTCATGAGCAGGGATGGGGATTGGGTGGCGTTCGTGTCCACCATCTTCACTCTCGTGATACCTCTGCTGGATGACAAGTCGAAAAAGCCGAGTGGCCGGACGAAGACCCACCAACGCCGCAGCTCAGGGCGTCCTCTCAGCCAGGCAAAGCCCGACGAGATCATCAATGATGACGAGTCGGCATGGCATTTGATGTGCGATCGTCAAAGCTCACGCTTGCATTCAAAGGGCTGGACATCATCAACATGGGGATGGGCATTGCAATCCGACCCAGCAACAACGACAATGGCCCCACCCTCGAGACGTACATCAGGTCTTCAGACGATCGCTGTAGCCCGACAGGTGACGACGAAACAGAACCTCATTCCTGACTGTATGGAGACTGCTCGGCACTTTTGCCAAACACCCATGGGCCAGGCTGCAAACGCCCATTGGGCTTCCGCCCCCAAAGATTATACAAGGAAGGACGCCGCCAAGAAAGACCTGCGCCCGTCTACTCTTTCAGAAATCCTCGTCTCGCTACACCTGTACAGCGAGGAGCGCAAGCTCAATGTCCTGTCACAGGATCACAGTGATGCTCCGTCCGGTAATCTAGTCCCTGTGCTTGCTCAGCTTGGCTACTGGCTACGCTGGGAGGGCTGGGACTGGCAAAGAGGAGGGTATTATGATCTCGCCGGTGCATCGAGCGAAAAATGGGTATACGACGAGTCGCCTTTGAGCTCCAAGACACGACTCCACGCACGGCCATCAGACGCACCGCCACCTTCCGTGCTGGACTGGCTCAGTACCGTTGTGGGCCCTCAACGCTATGCACCGTTCCCAACGTTAGCCATGCTCATCATGAAGTCCAAGGCATCGCCCCATTCGTCCATCAATATCGACGAGATTATTGCGGACGTCACTCCGAGGACAATGGCCCTGCACGCGTTTTTCCGCGATATCGACCCGGCATTCAGCCCGAGGAAGGTTGTGGAGCTCATCAAAACCTGCGGTATCAGCTCAGATACGATCGCTACACTACCAGAAGCTGCAAAGGCGCCGTTGATGGAAGCGATCACCAGGTGTCAGGCCAGTCCACCAACCACTTGGTCAAGCTCTCTGCTCCAACTCGTGCAACGCGAGGATCTCGACATGGACTCGAGCTCGAGTGGCGACTTCATTCACGAGGTCCATCTCAATCCACTCTACACCGCCGCAGCTGTTCGAGACGTGCACACAATCTGCCAGAGCGCAGAGAGGTCGGAACCGGTGCAGTCTACAGCTGAAGTCAACCGTCACTACATTACCAGGCTCATCTTCCGTGAAGATCGGCGGTTCATGGAAGCTCATACTCTCCTGGAGCCCTTGAGGCAAACCGTTGCCGAATGCCGTGTAGACAGTAGAGCTGACGAAGCTACGATGCTAGACCAACAGAAGATCTTGATGCAGTGGGTCATGATACGCACCTTCTCATTGCCAGTTGGTAGCTCCATGATCAAATTCGGTGGTAAAAAGCCACTGCTTACAGAAAAGTACCCACTGTACGGATTCTCGACATCGTGTCTGATGAAGCCGATGGGCAACGTGGTCACTGCTGAACGGCAGAATTATTCAGAAGAGAAGTACTTCTGGGCATTCTTCAACGCGGGTGTTGCTGCCGGGTTGAGTATCGCTCGAGACGCCCAAGGCATCGATACCTCGTGGATCATGTACAACAAGCCTGTCGAACTGACCAACAAGCATGCCGGCCTCCTGCTAGGTCTTGGATTGAATGGTCATCTGCGTACGATCGCCAAATGGCTATCCTTTAAGTACCTAACACCAAAGCACACCATGACCTCAGTGGGTCTATTACTTGGTCTATCTGCGTCTTTCATGGGAACCATGGACACACTGGTCACACGTCTGTTATCCGTTCATGTAACCAGGATGCTGCCCGCAGGAGCTGCAGAGCTCAACCTGTCTTCGTACACACAAACGACGGGTCTCATGGGGATTGGTCTGCTGTATTACAATACTCAGCATCGACGGATGAGTGAGGTTATGCTGTCTGAGATTGAGCATGTCGAGGTACCAGACCCTTCCGAGCCTCCGGACTCACTTCGTGACGAAGCTTATCGGCTGGCTGCGGGGTTTGCCCTGGGCTTCATCAACTTGGGCAAGGGGAGAGATCTGGGCGGCCTCCGAGACATGCAAATCGTCCAGCGGTTATTGACAGTCGCGGTTGCGCCGAAGTCGGTCAATGTCGTCCATATCTTGGATCAAGCAACTGCAGGCGCAGTGATCGCTATTGCATTGATCTATATGAAGACACACGACCGCATGGTAGCCAGAAAGATCGACGTGCCAGATACTCTACCTCAGTTCGACTACGTCAGACCAGATATCTTCCTCCTTCGCACTCTCGCAAAGCACATCATCATGTGGGACAACATTGAAGCAACAGACGATTGGATGATTAAGAACCTACCAGTGGAATATCGGGAAGACTCCGATCTCAAGAACATCAATAAGTTGCGAAGCGAGCAGATGCCATTCTACAATGTTGTTGCAGGCCTTCTATGGAGTATCTCGTTGAAGCATGCAGGCACAGGCGATATTGGGGTTCGCGACTTTCTGATCAGGTACCTGGACCAGTTCATGCGGATTGCCAAACTCACCTCCATTCGCTACGACTCTCGCCTGGCCCGTAATACCGTCCGTAACTGCCAGGACCTCGTCGCCCTTTCCGCTGCTACTGTTATGGCGGGCACGGGCGACCTCGAAATCTTACGTCGTCTGCGTGCCCTTCATGGTCGCATCGGTCCCGAAATACCATATGGGAGTCATCTTGCGGCTCACATGGCCTTTGGCGCCCTCTTCATCGCTGGCGGCACCCAGACCTTCAGCAGGAGTGACAAGGCAATTGCCAGTCTTATCTGCGCTTTCTACCCTCTCTTTCCCTCCGACGTCCAAGACAGCCGCGCCCATTTGCAAGCATTCCGCCACTTCTGGGTCCTCGCCGCTGAACCGCGCTGCCTCGTCATCCGCGACGTCGACACCGGCCGTGCAATCAGCATGTCCATCACTGTTACTTTCCGCGACGACTCCTGCCCACCGAAGAACCTCGTAGCGCCCTGTCTACTCCCCGAAGTCAACGAAATCTCCCAGATCAAGACAACAGACGTGAACTACTGGCCCACCACCCTCGACTTCGCACACAACGCGACCCACTTGAGGGCATTCACACGCAACCAGTCCCTCAACGTCCGCCGCAGAAGCGCGCGCGACACATACTCGACGTCTTTCTCCGCTACCCTCGTGGCGCTCAACGAGGCCCAGTCGAGCCGCACTTCGCATCTGCTGTTCCACTGGGTCTTCGGCCTCCCCTCCATCGCCAAGTTCGTTGGCACGAGCGATGCTAGTCTCGTCCTACCCGTTGATCCGCACAGTAAGACGATGCTTGATGCGAGGGATACGGTGGTTGAGTCCAGACTTGTGCTAGGCCGGCTGGGGAGGAGTTGCAGCTTTGATGAGCTGAGGGAGCTCAGGGGCGTGTTTGAGTGGGCTGAGGCGCAGTGTCGTACGGATGGGAGGTTGAGGTGGGTGGGGAGGAGTGTCGTCGAGGGATTGAGGGCGGGGGTGCTGGAGAGGGGAAGGGCAATTGGCAGTGGGTGAGATGATCCTAGTGTCAAGGAAGGGGGAGGGATGCGATTCGTGACCCATGAGAGGCACGCCCTCGTGCAGTGCGAGTCGTACGTACCGAATGCAATGAGCGTTCTCAAGATCAGCTGCGGTGTGGATTTACGAACTCCAACTTTTTAATGAAGAAGGAAATGCACTTGGCTTACACGGATGTATTGGTTGATGCCACGCACCCATCTTGTCCCAGACGAGTGATTACATGAGCTTTTATCCACCAACACGACCTGCAGCGCATCCACATTGTCTTCACCACCAAGAGCTGCGCAGGTACTCGGAGTACGGGATGCTGTTGTCGTGTTTCTGCAAAGTTCGGAGATGACAGCTAAGCGTCTGGCCGGCAGTGGGTGTCTAATACGCTCGAACAGAGCGATCGGAGTGACGGCCTCCACGTTGGAGGAGTACGGACTGGACTGGGTCACTGCGTATAGTAATGGGGAACTGGGAAGCTGTCTTCGCAATAACGATCTTTCTTGGTAGCTGTTTGTGTGCAGAATTTGGGGTTTGTTGTTTGTGGACACATAGCTCCTTTCTGGGGAGTGTTGCCGTCGATGAACGTGGTTCCTTTCTTGGTTGACGTATAGATTGGTGGTCGGGATCTGTGTCACTAATAACTATTTATCGTTGTTTAAGGGGACGTAGGCTCAGAACATCAACATCGGCATGGATGTAGGGGCAACTTCATCTCACCTTTCGTCTTGCAGGTATGTATGGAACAACGTGATGGAGCCTTGCACTCGGCGCTGTCTCCTTTTGTACTGGTACCGCCATTTCTTCGCCATGTGCGCATTAAGAGACGCTCACTCTAATTCCGCCAAAGCAATCCTCCTTTCTCTCCCCAGCAGTTTGCATACTCATGTCGAATGCTGCGCAACTCATTTGAACTTCGGGTTTCTCTCACCTCCCAATCTTAACGATATGACGTAATAAGACGCCCCTACATCGTTATCCTCTTCCCTTTGCCTGTGGTGAGAGAAGTTGCCGATACAGCCATATATATGCCGGCACCTTGCGCCGATATTCCTTCACGTTTGTCACACAACTAACTTCATCGAATTGTTAACCACGCACAGAGCCTGCCAGCATTACTGTCAACATCATGATGGATCAAAAGTACGTGCCGAGATACGTAAACAGACTCCTCAGGTGAGCATGCAACATCGCCTCAAACTCGGCCAGTCTCATTGATAGTACGTCCTACTATGATTTGCGAGCCACCCTCACCTCTGATTTCACTGAGCTATAACGTAATGCCTCACAATTCCGTGGTGAGTCTCTCACTACCCCGAGTGGTGAGAGAAGCCGTGAGATTGGGTCCTGAGTATATGTAGTCTCGCGAGATGAGTGCCGCTACTTCTTAATACTACTTCTTGAACACTCAACTAGCTACTCATCTTTTCTTACTCAAATATCAGTGCCCACTATGTTAGATCCAACTGTTCGGCCAGGCATCCGCAAGAAAGCCTCCCTCAGGTGAGCTGTAACACGCACAATGATTATTAACTTCGAAGCTGACAAGCGGACAGAATGGGCCGCAAAACAGTCCGCCTCAACATCGGCCAAGCGGAAGAGCTATTCACGCTCCACGAGGAACTCATCTGCGAGTCACCCTTCTTCCGCACCATCCTGCAGCCCCAGCGCAAGGTCGTGGAAGGCGACTGCCCTGTCTGCCACGAGGCCCTCGACGCTACGAGAATGGAGTTGACGTATTGTTCCACGTCATGCGGGGGTAACTTCCATCGCGCTTGTATTGACGATTGGATCGCATGTGCAGCGCAAGGCAAACTCGCTACTGCATGTCCACTGTGCAGACAACCCTGGGCAGACGACGATTCGAACAGCGACACCCACCGACTGCCCACTCTCGATGCGGATGCGTTCGATGTCTTTCTCACGTGGCTGTACGCTGGCTCTTTACCACCAGATCTGCAGTCCCGAGCGTTGATCAACGCCCACGTTCTCGGCGAGCATGTCAGTGCTCCAGAGTTCTGCACCAGCGTGGTGTCCGCGCTGATCGGTAAATGCGTCAAAGACGGCGCTGTCCCGCATACGAGCCATGTGTGGACTGCATACACCGGCACGTCGCGCGGCTCTATGTTGCGGAAAGCGATGGTGGTGCTATATCTGAATCTGAGCGCGGACAAGTTTCTGGATGTCCTTGACGATGAATGTCGTCTCCTGCCAGATTTCAAGTGGGATCTTCTCCGCGCACTCGCGGCGAAACGCGATGATGCTGTGGTGGGCTGGGATGAGGATGCTTTGAAAGCTGAGGTGCTCTCCTAGGCGTCAGAACACGGGGCAACAAGATGGGAGATGGGGTACTGAGCTGGCATGTCCAAGACTGATTCCACGGATGGAGACTCTACATGACGTCTCTGTCGAGCCTTGTCCGTACATGGGCGATGGAGTGCAGTGCATGGCGGTTTGTTGGAGGTGGACTAGTCTCTCCTCGTCTTTTCATCGACGATTGCGCATTGGGGTTTGTATGGCGTTTCTTCTCTTCTCCGACGAATGTCCACATGATCAAACACCAACAGCATGTCTCTTGTGCTCAGGAACGTAGAATCAAAGCTCTCCATCAAGACAATCCACAGCTCCAACAGGAAAGACGTGGCGTCATCGTATCCATAGGTATACATCCACATAGTCCAAATACCACACAAGCCCCCCACAGAAAACCTACTCCCTAACCTCAACACTCCTCACCAACTCCCCGCCCAACCGCCTAATCTCATGCACAACCGCCTCCCGATTGACCCCGATCTGCACGCCTTCCTCCCCCTCAGCAGCCTGGACCCTGACCGGCGCACTATTCCACCCCGGCTTGACCTTCCAACTGCGCTGGCGCGTGGACAGCGGATTCCACAGCCCGCATATCCGGTCCAGGATCTCCGGGTCCCAGAACCAGAGCACAGCGTCGCCGTACACGGCGCGCAGGTCGTGCGCGAACAAGGAGGGGAGACAAGGCGCGGCGGGCGTGTAAGACTCGCCGCGCTGGAGCGCGAGGTTCTTGAAGCTTGGAGCGGATGCGGCGCGCTTGGCCTTGCCTGCGCCGGAGGGTGTGTATCGCGAAGCCAGGGTGAGCGTGATGTCGTATTCGGTCGTGCTGGGCGCGAAGAGCGACTCGGGGTCCAGCGCCGTGCCGGCGTCCTGCCCATTGACGCGCCGCAGCAGCGCATCGTCTGCGCGGCGGAGCGCGGTGGTCGCGGCGCTCGCCAGCGCTGTTAGTCGCGCCGCGACCACTGTCGCCGGCGCGCATTTGTCGGTCCACGTCGTGCCGTCGTCGCCGTCGAGGGTCGTCGCCGCGAAGAGTACGACGCGGTTCATCCCCGCGTCGATGCGGCGCCAGGCTTCGAAGCGCGTCGTCAGGCGCGCCAGGTCGGCGGCTTGCATGCGCGGCTGCGCGTGCCCATCCTGATCCACGGCGGCCGCGCTGCTGAGGTCGACGATGAGCGGGGTGTGGCGCCAGTCCCAGCGTGCGAGCCACGCGAGCGTGCGCAGGAAGCCTGTTGTCGCGCAGGCGGGCGCGGTCCAGGGGTGCGGCTGCAGAAATGTCCGCAGCACCAGCAGCTCGAGCAGCTCGGGCGCAAAGTGCGGCGCGAGGAGGTGTGCGGCGAACCAGCGCTTCGTGAGGCGCAGCGCGGGCGAGAGGGCCGGGAAGCGCGTCGCGAGCGTCTGCACGACCTGGGTGTGCCGCGGGGCGTGAGTGAAGTCGCGCTTGTGCAGCGCGAGGCTCGCGGCGGCAGACTCGCGCGAGCCCGCGTCCAGCGCCTTGTCCTGCAGCTGCCGCTCCAGCAGCGGCTGTTCGCGGTCGTGGTGGATGCGGATCCGGAATGTGAAGCCCGCGGCGCTTGTAAGGTCCAGGAAGGCCTGGTTCTGCGCGGGCTGCGACGGGTTCTCCAGCCCGACGCGGGCCGTGTACTCGGACTCTGACTCTGCGACGAGGTCGGCGATGCGCAGCAGGAAGGCGATCTTGGTGCGCTGGATGGCGCACAGGTCGTCGGGCCAGCGGCCGGAGCCTTCAAACTGCAGCACGACTGAGGCCGGTGTGTGGCCGGGGGCTGGCGGCTCAATGGACGCGTACCGGAGCTGCGCGTCTGCGGCTCTGATGGAGCGGAGCTGGAGAGGCAGGTCTTCGAGGGCGCGCAGGTCCTTCTCCATGGCGGCGAAGGCGTTCATGATGGGCAGAAAGGGCGCTACACCTGAAGCTCCCTGGATGCGTCCGGCGCTGATGAGGTGTGCAAAGGCATCGCCGGTGAAGCTCAGCTGCTCAGCGCCCTGCATAATCTTGTGGTGCGGGAGGATGTAGCGGACAATCTGCTCGATGACGGATACATCCTTCGCAGACCACACGATGCTCTCGGTGATGCTGCCATCCTTGAATCGTCTCAGCTCCGACTTTTCACCCCAGAACTTGCGGAAGACGGCGGCCTCCTGCTTGTTCTCCGCTGCGGGCCCGTGGTCGACGGTGCGATTGGCGTTGGCGGGGTCAGTCGCGAAGTTGACGAGAATGCACTTGCGCTGCTTCTCCTGCGGCCGCTTGGTGGTGATGGACCAGTGCTCTTCCACGGGCATGGTGAACGAGATGGACGTGACGCGATCGGTGAGCGCATGGGACAGGGTCGCGTACAGCTTGTGGCAAGCGCTGCTGAGCTGCTGGTTGTAGGCTTCGCTCGCGGGATCGAGGCCAAATGCCGAAAGCGGTATCTCGAGTGTGGCGTCGTACTTGAACTTCAGCACCTCTGTCTTCAGGATGAAGGTGGCGTCGAACTGGTCGAAGACGGTGTCGCTCAGCATGTCCACGGTCGCCTGTGCCTCCTGACGCAGACACGCATACGACCACTGCGTCATCCTGAACAGGATGTTCTGGCCTCGGGGCCCGTCGAAGAAGACGGGCGTCGTGTCGCCCTTTGGGATGGTGATGTTGTGGGCGTGCAAGACGACAGCCTTCTTGCTCAGGTCATGGCGCGCAATGAACTGCAGGGCCGCTTTGAACAGCTGGTAGCTGCTGTACCCCGGCGACAGCGGCTGCGCACCGGTCGCCTGGTTGGGCTGCAGCAGGAGAGCCACGAGAGCCGCCCACTCAAAGTTGCCAAAGCCCCCCTTTCGCAGCTGGCTCCCAAACCCACGCTGCTTGAGCCAGATGCGGCCGAGAACGCACGCGTCCTTGAAGGCATCGGCTGTGGTTGCTGTCGCGTACAGCAGCTTCAGGTAGGCGGTGATGTTCGCATCCGACTGCACTGCGCTGTTGTAGAAGGGCGTGGGTGGAAGCACTTTGCCAGCAGCCTCGTCGTCGGCGTCCTTTGGTCGCACGGCGTTCGCGTTGGGCAGCAGCTTGTTTGGCGCGAGCGTGTTCTCAGGCAGGGCGGGGATGATGTTGATCCTGGCCTTTGAGCTTGAGAAGTCGTCCGCGTCTCCGTTGCCACTGGGGCGCACGACGAGAATGGGCTGCAGCTGGTTGCCGTGCCAGTTCTCGAAAGACAGGGCGAACTTGTGCTTCTTTGCGCGCGCGATGCCTGCAGCCAGGCAGGCCAGGTAGTACGCCCTCTTGTAGAAGTAGCGGTGGTTGAGGTAGTCCTTGTCCTGGAACAGAGCCTTGGGCATGGTGACGACGAGATCGATGGCAATGCCGTCATCAGACTTGGTGGCCGTCTTGAGCGGGTAGCTGCCGGTCGCGTTGATGCTCGACGGGCGCTCGAAGGCAAGCTTGTACATTGCGTCTTTGGGCGGGCGTGGGCTGGGGAACGGGACCGCGATACCAGCAGACTTGAGGGCTTTCTCGGCTTCTGGAATCTACAGACGATTAGCAGGATAGACGACTAGCAGGATAGACGACTAGCAGGATAGACGACTAGCAGGATAGACGACTAGCAGATTAGACGACTAGCAGGTTAGACGACTAGCAGGATAGACGACTAGCAGCATAGACGACTAGCAGATTAGACGACTAGCAGCATAGACGACTAGCAGATTAGACGACTAGCAGATTAGACGACTAGCAGATTAGACGACTAGCAGGGTGGAGGCGGGTGTCGCCAACGGACGTACCGGCAAAGCCTCTCGGCTGGGCAGCGACTCAATGATGGTCTTCAGCGTGCGCATCACGTTCTCAGCCGGGGCCTCCTTCTTGCCGTACTTGGGCTTGACCTGCTCCAGCAGCTCGTCGACCTGCAGCTTGAACAAGTTCGACTTGAACGACTCGGACGCATAGGCGCCGTCCTGGAGCGTCGCAGCCGGCCGCTTCTTGTGCTTGTGCACGGGCGCGCTCTTCTCGTGCTTTTGCGCAGCGCTCTCCTCGGCCTCGTCGTCGTCGCTCACATGTTTGGCGGCGGCTGGTCCCTCCATCGAGACAGGGCTGTCCTCGCCATTCGCCTCCTCTTCCACTTCCGACCCCGCGCTGTCCAATGCCCCGAAGTCGGCGAAGCTGCCCTCGCTCTCGTCCTCGGACTGCTCGAGCTTTCTGCGTTTCGTCGCGGGCGGCATTGTTGTCGTGTTCGTGTGAAGCGAATCTGGATGCGTCGCGGGAACTTTGCGAACTTTTTGGTGGACCCACTCAGACGACAGGGATGATGCTGCAGCGTATCTTATCTTATCTTATCTTATCTTATCGCATCGCTACCCCGGATTCAGCGAGCGTGACAGTGACGTTGGAGCTCACTCAAGCTCTCCTCCGCCGCCCACGCTCTCCCCGCAAGCTTTGAACCCCTACCCCCAGACCCGCAATCATGGCCTGGCGCTCCTCAGGCTCGACCAATGCCTCGCTAATCGCGAACCTCGAGAAAAACGGGCTCATCACCTCCCCCCCCGTCAAGACGGCCATGCTGCAGGTACTCCCCACGACTCCGCCCACCCATCCGCCGAAACCGCGCCACACCACCGCCTCGCACCACACACACCACTAACGCCCTCACGCAGGTAGACCGTGCGCACTTCGCCCCGCGAAATCCCTACGACGACCGCCCCCAGCCCATCGGCCACGACGCCACCATCAGCGCGCCGCACATGCACGCCGCCGCCTGCGAATCGCTGCTCCCCCTTCTTTACCCAGGCGCACGCGTGCTGGACATCGGGAGCGGCAGCGGGTACCTGACGGCGGTGCTGGCGCAGCTCGTCGGCGCGGGCGGGCGGGTAGTGGGGATCGACCACGTGCAGCCGCTGGTCGACATGGCGCGCGCGAACATGGCGCAGAGCGAGGCGGGGCGGGAGATGCTGGAGTCTGGGCGCGTGAACTTTGTGCTGGGCGACGGGAGGGAGGGATGGGCTGAGGGTGCGCCGTATGACGCGATTCATGTCGGTGCTGCGGCGGCCGAGCATCACGCTGCGCTGACGGCCCAGTTGAAGGCCCCTGGACGCCTGTTTGTGCCTGTGTGCGATGGGCCGAGGCAGCATATTTGGCTTGTGGATAAGAGAGAGGATGGCACCGTGGAGCAGACGAGGTTGTATGGCGTGCAGTACGTGCCGTTGACCGATGCCCCGGGAACAAGTGACACCGAAGAGTGACATTGTCACGTTTCTGCAATGACGATTCTGGAACGACTTTCTGTAACGAGTTCCTGGAACGACGTTCTGCAACGACGTTCTGCAACGACGTTCTGCAACGACGTTCTGCAACGACGTTCTGCAACGACGTTCTGTAACGACTTTCTGTAGACAAGTGGACAGCGACGAGGACTAGTGCCAAAAAGCAGTGCATGGCCGTTTGGCAGGAGATGCCTTCAACAGCACATAACATCAATCAAATTGAATCTGTAATTTCGATTGGTCCATCGTCTACGGAACCCCATGGTCCATCTTCCGACCCGTCACACTTCCCTCGATCCTTGAAATCGTCACAGGGAGCAGTAATAAGAGTCAAGCGTGACAGACGCTACCGCTCACGTCTTTCCATCTTCGCGAGAAAGAGCAAAGCCAATTGCTCCTGTCTCACCACCATCTTCTCTCCCTCGTAATTCCATCCCCTTGCCCTTGCTGTTCGCCTTTGTCCACCGTATCGCCGTGCGTACGCTCCCACTGCTCAAAGTCCTTGCATGCGGTGGTGTTGTTGCTGGCTCGTTCTCCTGCTTCCTGAACGACAAGCTGAGCTTGCGCTTGTGCCCTGTCGGACTGGGAGAACCTGATGGGGGCATGGGGAAAGCCCCATCGATGCTTGTGGGTGATGAGAGAGGCATGGAGGATGCCATCGTCCCATCCAAGCCCGCCGTCGATGTCGCTGATGTGGACTTGTGTGGGCGAGAAACGGGCTTGTTCTTGGCTGCCACTGCGATGGCTGGATTGTGTGGCGATCCCATGGCTATCACAAACGGTATACCAGTGCCGGAGGACGCGCTTAGCTTGCGTTCTGTTCGTGATGGAATAGCTTGAAGCTGCAGGTTGTAGCTCAAACTGCTTGAGTCTGAGTTGACACGGGAATGAGAGGTTGGAGAAGGCTTGCGTGATGGTGCCTTGAACACGAAATCTTGCGAGAACCTTGACGTTGGTACAACAGGACGGATAGTAGACGCTTCGGATGTCTCTCGCTCGATGCCAGAGCGATCATCACCGGAATGGAGCATCGACTCTGGATTACTTAGGGCGAGAGCGAGCATTTCCGGTTGGTGGTCAGGCCTCGACACAATCTGCTCTTCAGACCTCTCCGAAGGTGCGTACGTGTCATGCGATATAATCAGGCCTGTGGGAGTAGTGTGTGGTGCACTGACGGTAGTGGTCTTAGTTGGCGTCTGAGGTAGAATGTATGTTTGTGACGCATCTTCCTCGTATGCATCCAATCCATGCTGCGATTGTTGCTTTGGCGAATTATCTGTGCTGCCTGCCGTGGTAGACGGAGGCGGGGTCAAGGCCCGACTCGACCCCATGTTTGCAGTGATAGGACCCATCAAGGTTAGTGACGAACGTGCTGAGCTCTTTGAATCTGGTGTCGTTGCCAAGAAACGAGCTCTGTTTGGAGTCGGTGCTGGTCGTAGAGATGATGTGTCGGACTCAAGGTCACTAGCCCTGTTCCCATAGCTGCCAAGCTGCCCAGTGATCTTGTGTAGCTTCTTGATGTCGCTCTTGTAACCCCGGATGTCCAGCTTGTAGTAGATAATTTCGCGAACGTAAAAGTCGATCTCGTTCCGCAGATCTTCAAACAAGGCTTCGGTCTCCGTCATCGGGGCTTTTACCGGGGTCATTGGCTTCGCCTTCCGCAAGCGCTGGTTGAGCCTTTGAATCCATCTGTCGATGTCCTTCTTAGTTGCTAGAGCAGTCAACTCTGGCAGTGGATCGTTGTCGTCGGTGAAGTATCGCGTTGTCGTAGCGTGTTTTCGTATCTCAGCTTGCAGGAGAAGCATGTGATGCTCAAGTTGCTTTTCGACAGCACGAACTGCCTTTTCCTTCTCACCGATGACAGCCTCCCGTTCCAGGACTGCAGTCCGTAGCTGTTGGATCTGTGCACCAGTCTCTTTCGTCTTAGCGAGTAACTCGTTTTGGATGTCCAGCTGCAAGTTGACCTCGTCACACTGATGATTGACCTGATCAAGCATCTGTCGCAACAAGCTACTGTCTTCCTCAAGGTCGGCGATGTAATCATCTTTTTGTCTGATCTCATCCTCGAGCTGCTCGATGTGCGCGACGAACTTTGAGATGTCCATAGCTGAGTCGTGGCGCCTACCTGATGATGAATCGGTGGAAAAGATCGTGCCCACACTCTCGTTGGCATTCGGGCCTTCCATCTGCAGTTCCGGGAACGAGGCATCGAATGGTGACTTCAGCGCTCTCATATTGAACAATTCTTCTTGGGCATCCAACTTTCCGGTATTTGCGATCTCAAGCCGGCTCTCAAGGTGATCAATGGTGTTCTGCAATGCTTCGGCTTTCGATGCAAGTTGTTGAGCCTCGCTTGCCTTACTCTCAGCTTCCGTGCACCTTCGTTCAACTTCTTGCAGGGTCGCCCTTAACGCCTTCTCACTTTTCTTGGACTCATTCAACTTTGCCATGAGAGAACTGATCTGTGTCTGCAGGGCAGCATTGTTCTGCTTGTACTGGTTAAGCTCGGGTAGAAGATTGCGGTCTGTGGTTGGCGGACGCCGCGTAGTGCTCAGCTTGCGCTTCAAACTCTCCATCTCTGAGCTGTCCCGTGACGTCCGATACGACTGCTTTTGTTTCTCCGAAGCAATGCGGAAAGACAGTCTCGAGCTGGCAGGTGTGCCGGCCGTATATTGAGAGCTTTCGCAGCGGGGTGTAGAGGAACTCTCGGGAGTATCCAAGAGAAACGAGTGATTGTTGCTCGAGGCTAGATGCGCGTCAGCTGAAGTCGTTACGTCTGTTGCATAACTAGATCAGAACTACACACGACCGTTCAACTGCCAGCAGTGGTTTAGGGCCTGATAAACTTCAGTAGCGACTTATGCCCCTGGCTAGAGCTGCAGACGAGCCCCGGAATCTGTGGATAGTGGCGAGCACTAACTCCGAAGATCGCCAATTGGTGGGTGTAACAGCAACGAAATGAGGAAAGCAAAGTGAAGGGGAGGCAAGGAAGTACAGTTACACTCACCGTGATGCAGACCCGGATGCTGTGCCAGTTGCTCTTCCAATAGTCTTGCGTAGTTTCGCAGTGACGCAACCTCTGCAGCGTGCGCTCCTGCAAGGCTCAGAACGTGAGTTTCGTGCGACAATCTCAAACTGCCGAATTGTGACTGTAATGTTATTATCGTCTGATTCTGCGAGGCAATCGCAGCGTGGAGGTCTTCGGTAGGTTTGTGGCGCAAGCCTGTCAGTGTAGGTGTAAGGGAGGCGCCGGGCTGATTACGGTCAGTAGCTAACCATCTACAGGTGAATGCGAAAGGCTGTTTTGAGGCTCGCAAGTGGAGTAGGACAGAAGACTTGGCTGGTGCGCCGTGGTTCTTCCTGCAGCCGTGTGCTCAATTGAGCAACTGCGCTCCAGCACACGAGTCGAGACAACCACAACAACAACAACGCTGAAACGGCTACTTCGGTCGATGCAGCCTTTCTGTCCATCTACTCCAGGCATGCAACGTCCCATTAAGGCTGGACGAGCGGATACGAACTATCTGAAACAGTTTCGTCATGCGCATTACATACTCGGCGAGTGAATCACCACGACGGAGAAACAAGCGGTACTTACATCATCTCGGCGACTTGCGCGTCTTGCGAGAGAGTTGTCTGAGACCCCTGGCTCAAAAACCATAGGATATGGCTGTTGCAGCTTGTCGGCGTCCATGCGCAACCTGTCCGACTCCGTATGGCCAGTGTCCTGCATCACAGGATAAAAGGATGCGATAGCATTGTTATCGTTGACCGGGGTTGGATCTGCTACCGAATGCCATTCGATGCTGCTGAGCGCTTCCCTATGGTGGACCCGACGGGGGTTCGAGTTGTTGGCGCTCGCATTGGCAGCAGGCCCAGCACGTGAGGACTTCATCGAGCCGTCTCGATACCCAGCATGCAGACTTGGAACACTTTTGGAATGATTCAATGGCTCAGGATAGAGGTGCAGCAAGTCAAAGACCTCACCCTCATCTTCAAGACATTTATCAGGCGGATGGGTTCCTCGTCGAATGATTTGCGAAGTGGGACGACTTGGCGGAATATTGGGAGGGTCAAGATGTGGAAAACCCTGGTTATGTTGCAGAAGAGATCCAGGTAATTCAGCGGGAAAGCCTGGAGCTGACGGGTCGGAGGCTGAGCGCGGCCTGGTGGGGAGAGGCTTATGTACGGAGGCGGACCTTGACCAGGCGCCCACGCTCGACGACGGTGAGCGCAGCATATCATTGAAGACAGCCATGAGAGTGGACGTCGAACTGACACGGTGGGCATTGTATGGAGACGACAAGGGGCTCAATGCGGATTGCTCGTGGTCTGGAGAGATTACCGGTATGGAGATGTCGGAGGGGCGGCTGCGTGACCTTTGGGTGTCCTTGCAGCTGGTCAGCGAATACACGATCACAACGTCGAAGCATCATGCAGCTGCCCGCAGCACACCTCCGTCGACAGTGACTACCGCTGCGCTCTGCGCAACCACGTCGTCATGCATTGCGCATTGCCAGCTCACTACCCGTCATCCGGCAATCAATCGTACCTTCGCTTCATGATCGTTGCTGGGCTCGTTGCCCAGAGAGTCGATGGGTAGGAGACCCCCAGTCTTGTAGTATGGCTCCGCATGGGAATGACGCTTCTGCCAGGAGAAGAGTCTCTTGGAGCTCATCGTAATGGTTAGGCGCTTCTAACGACGCATAGCATGTGGTATTAAGACATTATGATAGACAGGTAAACTACACAGAGAAGCAATAAGAGGGAAGAAAGGCGACAGCGAAGGAATACGAATAGGCCGGGGTGACGCCCAGTGAAGAGGATCTCGAAACTTTTGTCGGCGGTTTTGCTATCGCGCAAACGTCCGCTGTCATGTTTCGGTGCACAGTGCACAGTGGCCGCCCGCCTAGAGCATGGCGTGCATCTCTGACTGGGGGGCCAAAGCCCGAGTGGGTGAGACGCGCGGGAAAGACAGTAATGCCGCGTCGAGGCGCTCTCTATTTGGGTGTTGGACGAGTGGGCGCGTGGAAGGGCAAGCGCCTGCCTGGTATTCCTGGACTTGGCATTGGAAACTGCGAACGGCCGTCACAAAACTTTGCGACCGGCCCGTTTTGTAGAAGTCTCAGTTACACCATCAGTGCCCGAGCAGCGCACTGTCGCACTACTGAGCGATCAACACCACTTGTGTTCTCACATGTCTTGAGTGATTGCAATGGTATCGCCTCTAGCCACTTAGCGACCCGAAACAGTACAGTAATACGGCCCCAGCTGCGCCGCAGTCCGGTCATTCCCCGTACGCGGCGCATTATGGCTAGAGACTTGTCGCCCTTCAGCCAGAGGCGTCGGCTCACTCAGCAGCTTGCTAGTGGGGAGGTCCCTACACCACCGCGTGTGGTAGCAGAAAAGGCTTTGAGCAAGGAGCCTGAGCGCGCAAGCAAGGAGTCCTCAGCTTCAGCTGGTTCACAGCGCCGCTCAAGAAGCAGATCCCGGGAACGGCGACCTACGGATCCGTCACAGGGGCGCAAGCCAAGAGATAGCCCATCTGCGGCGAAATTAAGCAGACCGGGGCGAAATGGGTCGCCGGAGCCGTATAGGAAGCCTAGAGAAGAATCACGGGAGAGGAGACGCGGTGGCTCAAAAGAGAGTCATCGAGACCGTGCTGGGAACAGGCCGCGCGACAGGTCAAAGGACAGCAAGAGGAGAGACAGATCTGTAGACAAGAGGACTCGTTCGAACGAGAGGCGGCATGTCCGCTCGAAAGACAAAGATGGAGGCAGGGACCGAAGACGAGATCGGTCACGGGACAGACACAGCAGACGCGACGGCTCCCGCTCACGAGACCGAAGGCGCAGAGACAGGTCGAGGGACGACAAGCGCTCGCGCTCTCCTTTAGCAATCCGCGAACGTAAACACCGCACACGCTCGGCATCCGCCTCCAGATCACCACCGCCCAAACGCCGTCGCCGCAGCCACTCGAGATCACGATCACGGTCGCCACATCAGCGCAATAAGAAGCCTCTGCCCGACCAAGACGTCTCCTTTCGCGGCGTCGACAACTCGAACCAAGCACCCACAAAGTACGGTGGCGCACCTGTCAACAAGGAGAAACCGAATTTTAAACCCACTGGTGCGCTTGCGAAGCACGCCAACCGTGTCGAGGGCACCAAGATCTCTCTCAAATACCACGAGCCTCCCGAGGCGCGCAAGCCGCCCGCCTCGCAGCCCTGGCGCATTTTTGTGTTCAAAGGCGACGATGTCATTGATACAATTGAGCTCTGGCAGAAGAGCTGCTGGCTTCTGGGACGCTCGTACGAGGTGGTGGACTATGTGCTCGAGCACCCAAGCTCGAGTGGGCAACACGCGGTCATCCAGTTCAGGTATACACAGAAGGTGATCGAGGACGATTTTGGCGTAAAGAGCACCAAGGGCAGGGTCAAGCCGTATGTCATAGACCTGGAGAGCAGCAATGGAACGGAGCTCAATGGCAAGGATGTTGAGGCGAGCCGTTACTTCGAGCTGAGAGACAAGGACATTCTCAAGTTCGCGGGAAGCGAGCGCGAGTATGTGGTTATGCTGCCGCCGCCAGAGGAGAAGAAAAGGTAATATCCAGATGCTGATGGTTTCCTGCAAAGAGTCCACTGGCGAGCACAGTAGCTGCAGGGTACACAGCTTGCAGCGATCATGCGCCCCATGCATGCACAGTTCAGCCCCCAAGCCAGATAGATGAAGCGTGGTAGAAGGCTCGCAAGCTGCTCGATGTACGCAAGAAGACCTACTCCCCCTCCAAACCCCATGAGACTCTAGATGTCTATACAACATTCGCCAGCCTACAGGATGCTCTCACTCTGCCCCTCATTAATAGATCCGCATCCCTGCCACAAGTTTAAGCTTAATCTGTTAGCCCCAGTTGCTAAATATGGGCGCGGGGGCGGCGGTAAAGTCGTGCCGCGGCAGAACGATCGTTCGCCCACAGGGAACTCGACACGGTCACGTTCCCCTCAAGACCTAAGAGTATTCTTGCAGAGCAGCCTCGAGACTCCGCAGAGATCGATGGGACGTGGGTAGCGAAAGAACATCTCAACACCAATCAAGAAGTCCACAACTATATACTGAAGCAATTCATCCTGCGTGCTCAGCAGCCATCTGCAACACCCGGCGATCTTGAGTGGGTCGTGCCTTACAGCTAAGATCCGCTCGGCTAGCCAAGGCCGTGAAGCTCAGCCAAACATCTCCTGTGTGCCTCTCACTCTATTCTGCCCACCATCTGGTGTTTTTGTTACGCTGTCTTCTTCGTCCCTTCCTTTAACCATTACTCGCCGGTTCTGATGGCAGCGCCGCAGCTTCTTCTGGTCTGAAACCCCATCTTTGTCTAAGACCACGCCGTCCACACCACGAGAGGACCCAGATTCTTGGAAGTATTACCGTTTCCGCTCACACCAGAGCGCCTACACCGATCACGACCGTCATCGATCATCCGGTCACGCACCTGTTGCGCAAAGCAAGGCGCGCCGCGCTGCACACCGAGCAGCCATGCTTCGCATGAGGAGATATAGGGTCTTCCTCGTGTTCGCAGTGATCGCGGTATTTGCGATCTACAAGTTTGGGACATCAGGAGCGACATGGCGGGAAGCAGCGTCGAACGCAGCTGGTAAATTAGGGGATGCAGCCGAGGACACAATACAGTACATTCAAAAGCCCAACGTGGTTGCGAAGGAGACGCGGAAATTCGAGTTTGATGTGTCTGCAGCTACGAGGAACACACCCCTCCAGACACCGCCACCGCCTGCTGCGCCCGTCGATCCTCCTGCTGGCAGGAAGTCGTCTGCGGCGCCAGCCTCGAGTCCCGCCCTCACACCCAAGCTGCCGCAACAGCACCTCCCTACAGTCCCTACGCCGAAGCCTGGTCGGCCTGGCAATCCCGCCAACGCTGTCTTGCCCGAGTCGAGCATCGCGCCGGTGTACTGGTCAAAGCTGCCCGAGAACTTCCCTGTCCCGCCGCAGTCGATGATCAAGCTGCCAGCTGGCAAACCGAAGCCAATCAAGCGCATACAGTTCGACTTCAAGCCGGAGACGCCAGACATGAAGGCTGCGCGCATTGCGAAACTCGACACGATCAGGAATGTTTTCAAGAAGTCGTGGAACGGGTACAGGGCGCTTGCCTGGGAGCATGATGAGCTGAAGCCAGTGTCTGGTGGGTTCAAGGATCCGTTTGCCGGCTGGCGCGCAACATTGGTAGACGCGTTGGATACATTGTGGATTATGGGATTGAAGGAGGAATTCGCCGATGCGGTCAAGGCCGTAGCCACGCTCGATTTCACGACGACCCCACGCGCCGACATCCCGCTATTTGAGACCACCATTCGATACCTGGGGGGGCTGCTGGCAGCATATGATGTCAGTGGCAAGCAGTACAAGATCCTGTTGGAAAAGGCAGTCGAGCTGGCCGAGGTCCTGTACAGCGCGTTTGACACGCCGAACCGCATGCCGGAGACGTACTATTACTGGAGATCGCAGTTTGCGTCGAACCCTCACCGTGCAGGCACCCGCGTTGTGCTGGCTGAGATTGGCTCGCTTTCGATGGAGTTCACGAGGCTTGCGCAGCTCACAGGGGACCACAAATACTATGATGCAATTGCACGCATTACCGATCTTCTGGAGGAGTTCCAGGCAAACACAAGGCTTCCGGGCATGTGGCCGACGTATCTGGATGCATCAGGATGCAACTATACGGCCATCGATGTGCCTCCGCCCGCTCCAGAGCCTATGAACAACCCGTCAGAGGACCTTGTTGCCCCCGGAAACCCGAAGTCGACGCCCACGCCCACACCGACGGAACAGCTCTCGCCAGGTGGCAACAAGATGATCCCGCTTGACCTGCCCGACCCAATTATTCTGACGCCAAACGGAGTCAATCCGACTTGGGTCCCCCCCAAGGAGGGCTTGGACGACCCAATGCTCGCTGCACTGGGCAATCCCGCGAAGATGTCTGCTCTACCGCCGCTGCAGCGACGACAGCTGGTCGTCGAGAAGAGTACACCACCGAAGAAGGCAACCGATCTCGAAGCTGATCTGCTTGCCCTGCAGAAGGGCAACATGGATAGAGTCAAGTTTGACACAGCCTCATTGCCAGTCACACCTGATTACACAGGTCCCACTTGCCGACCGCAAGGCTTTGACACGAGCTCAAGCTTTGGCCGTGAAGAGTACACACTAGGCGGCATGTCCGACTCAACATACGAGTATCTGCCAAAGCAGTGGCTGCTCCTGGGTGGGCAGGTCGAGAAGTACCGGGCTATGTTTGAGTGGTCCATGGACGTTGTGAAGAAGTACTTGATCTTCCGGCCCATGGTCCCGAAAGAGAATGACATCCTGAACTCAGGAAAGTTCAACGTGCAATCACTCAAGGGTGAGCCATTGATCGGCGATCTTGAGTCCGAGAATGCACATCTGACATGTTTTGCTGGTGGTATGTTTGGCATGGGCGCGAAGATCTTTGACCGTCCTGAAGACCTGGATATCGCAAAGAAGCTCACAGAAGGTTGCATCTTCGCCTATGATATGACAGCAACGGGTATCATGCCGGAAGGTTACGATACTGTGCCCTGCGAGAGCCGAACAGAGTGTCCCTGGAATGAGACCTTGTACCACGAGCTCCTTGATCCACGGTCAGACTGGCGCATCCAGAATTACCAGTCGCAGCTTCAACAATACCAGCTCGACATCGCCTCTGCCTCGTCTTGGTACAAAATTGCAATGGCCGAGTTCACGGCAGCTCCCGAGCCTGCTCTGATCCCGCCAATCGTCGCAGCGCAACCCACGCCAACTCCCTCCTATGTCTTCGCCGATACCCTCGACAGGCGGCAGATGATCGAACTCCTCGACGACGCGACTCATGTCAACATCGAAGACGTGCCCGGTGTTCCCGCCAAAGCCCCAAACCCTTCACCGCCAGCTGCCGTCCGCCCCCTCGCCGTTCCCCACACTCCCCACCAGGACCATGAATCCGTCATGGGCGGCGAATCAGAAGAGGGTGAAGGTCCACCTACAAGAGTTCAACCAGGTCTCAACATCCCTGAATTTGCCGGCTTGCCACCATCGTCTCGCATCGCGCCCGCGTTCCCGTACGTCTACTCGCCCATGCCGGTGCTGAACCATAAGGAGTATGTCAAGAACCGCATCGAGGAAGAGCGGCTCCCCGAGGGCGTCGTGAGAATCGGGGCCAGGAGCTATATCCTCCGGTACGTTGCGTCCTACTCCCTCCCCCAACAGTAATTCTTGCTAACACGCTTTCCAGCCCCGAGGCCATAGAGTCGGTCTGGTATATGTACCGCATCACGGGCGATTCGCACTGGCGCGAAGCCGGGTGGCGCATGTTCGAGGCCGTGATGCGCGCGACGGCGGCCGAGTTTGGAAACAGCGCCATCGATGATGTTACCAAGGCGGTGCCGGAGCTGGACGATAGCATGGAGAGCTTCTGGCTTGCCGAGACGCTGAAGTATTTCTATTTGCTGTTTGCCGAGGAGGATCTGGTCAGTCTGGATGAGTGGGTGCTTAATACCGAGGCGCATCCTTTTAGACGGCCGACCTAGAGGGTCAGGTAATCAAGGGTTGGTGTCGCGTTGATGGAAAGCCGCACATCGGGCATTGGCTTGATTAGAGCCTATTGGTACATCTTCGGGGTATACAGGGTGGAACCCAACGCAAGAGTATTTGCGCATAGCATCCATACAGTTGCTCCTCTCTTCGGGCGGGATGCGCCGCTTCCTTTCCTGAGTTCGTGAATGGCATCCCTTGCCGATTTCAGTTTTGTGGTCGCCCCTTGCAGATGAAGCACTTCTTCAATCCGAGCATGCGCAGTTGCTAGTTAACGTCATTGCCTATTCTTCTGTACATTAAGCACAGTGGTTGGCCTTGCAAGTCCATGTTCTGTGAGTCTTGGGTGGCAGAGCTGAGACTTTTAAGGCTGCCTCATCACTTTCACCACTCAGGAGCGGCTAGGCGCTGTCTCCAACAGTACGGTTGGTTTATATTTAACTCCTTTGTCTTGATTATGACTATGCGGCTTAATTGGTGACGCAAGCAAGCCAAGTCGATCACGTCGAGGCCGCACTTCACAGCAGTGATGCACTACCTCACTCATTTCTCGAGAACTTCTACGATCGATCGGGTGAGTAAAGGCCCTCTCTTACCTGGATTTATCAATATTAGTGACGCTGCAAAATGTTCAGCAGCAGGTAAATCACGTCGGACGGCGAGCTATATCTGCTCTGCCTCGCGCTGCGTTTCGTTACTTCGAGAAGCAAACCAACACATACAACAACATGGATATCTCGATATCGCGGTGATCGAGGTCTCTACATCACCATGTCACCAGTAAAAGCGTATCAGCGTCCGCAAGAAGCATGGCTTTCCGTGCATACACGCCATGTATACGAGGTGTCGCTAGCAAGACTTTAGGCCAGGGCGTCGAATGGTCGACTGTAAGATCAGTTCTCAGATGACATTATTTAGAGTCCACGGAGACTTGCGTTGCAGGAGCTCGTCACTGTTTCGCAACAAGTTCCAGGAAAAGAGGCGTGAAGTAGAAGGTGACTGCTTCGTCTGCTACAAGGAGCTCCGCGCGGGCGTAGACGAGCCTACATTCTGCGTCGACTCGTGCGGGGCCAATTTCCACTGGTCAAGTCTGCAAGATTGGAAGGAACAAACACCCGTTGCCGCGACCAGGTGCCCTCTCTATCAACATGTCTGGAATGACCCAACTTTTCAACAACAGTCATTGCCCGACGTCAGCGAGCGCAATTTCTACACATACTCTAATTGGCTCTACCGCAGCGAAATCATGATGGGGGGCGAGAATACCAACGTGTGCTACAACAATCTGGTTGAATCCTACGTCACTGGACAAGCGCTGCACGATGAAAAGTTCTGCAAGTCTGTTCTACGGGCTTTTGTCGAACTGTGCGTTGACGATCGCAGATTTCCAGGCTCAGCGGTCATACAGATGGCGTATGCAATGACCTCTGGACCATGCAGCCTTAGATGGCTTCTGATTGGGCTGTATATGAGGCTGGATCTCGAAGAGGCCTGTATTTCGTTCACTTTAGAGAAACAACCGGTCCAGCTCCTGCGTGGTCTGTCCTTTGCTCTTCTGGAGGAGTCACCCACCTAAAGTACAGCTTGGAAGATGGAGTACCTCTTGGAAAAACTTCTGTTGGAAGGTTCTTTGGATGACGACGAAGATGGCGACGAAGATGAAGACAAAGATGACGACAAAGATAATCCGGAAGAGAAGATCTGATGAAAAAAGGTGAGATTGCACCGAAGAAGAGGATCTAGGCGGTATACGCTGCATCAGCTACTACGATGGATTGAGGGAGTTGGACGAAGACAGCCAGTACACGGTTGCTTTACGATGTGTTAGTCTGTGGAGGCATGTTCTTTGATCTTTGAGCTTACCGAAGGATGGCAGACCCTGTGCAGCTGCATCGTTCGATCATTTCTTTCTTTCAAGCCTTGTCTCTTCCTGCGTGAGCGCACTACAACTTTGCGAGAGGAACACCCATTATAGAGAAGAGCTTTGATGTATTAATCCACAATGTCGGTCACAAACGCTGTTATAAAATGTGCTATCTGAGATTATTGGAGAGTTACCAAAAGCTATGCCAGTGACACCGCGCGTCAGTCTTCGTAGGAAACCCAGGGCTCGGTACGTTACAACCTTTCTCCCACACTACAGCTAATAAGGGACTAGCATGAGCTGTAGGACAGTGTTCAAATTAATAGGTCTATACAAGAAGCAATCTCGAGTGCAAGAAGGACTTCCGTGTGAGATGTCCAGCGTCCTCCAGCAAGGTGTGCAGCCAAAAAGACGCAAAATCGGAGGCAATTGCGCCATCTGCCACGCCCTGCCTCTCAGACATGGACAACTTGACATATTGTCGCAATACCCACAGCAAAAACTTCTACCAGTCATGCATGGACACCTGAGAAGAACAAGCTTTTGACCAGGCACCTGAACAAGGTACTCCTATGATACTTAGGTGGCTTTTTTACCAAGCGGATTGGAACTTGTATGCGGTCTCAGCACAATTGTTCCCCAGTATAGGCCAGTTCGGGTTCGATATTTATCTGCGTTGGCTCTATTAAATGCGCGTCTTGGTCACAGAAAGGACCGACAACGCTCAGTTCAAGAACCTCGTTCAGGCATACAGCACCGTCGTGCAGCTAAAAGACTACATGTTCTGCCGAGCAGTCCTGCAGTGGTTTATCGAGGTTTGCGTGGAGGACAGCGTACACCCAGATTCCCTCGTAGTCACTATAGGTTGCACACGTACATCGGGGATCTGCAGTCTCAGGAGGCTGTTGATTGGGCTGTACGTCAAAATGGATCCTGACAACGACAGAGGCTGGCTTGAAGGACAGGATCGGGTGCAGCGTTTTGTGTGCGCATATTGTGTGCGACCTGAGAAAAGCGTTTATGGAGAGATCGGCTGAGCTGGAGAGGATCTGGACGGTGGAGGGGGTCTTGAGTAGATATGTCACATCGGCGCCAGCAGAAGAGGAGGTAGAGGCTACGGGTAGTACATGAGACGCTTCGATAGGATTAAACGACCCTCTTCGAACAAAGCGGAGACGCGGTCGTTTATGAATCATCGTGAATGGTCTGCGTGCAGGTGAGATAGAATACGGGGTGTCCAATCATGACGACGTATAAGCGCTTATAAGGTATCAAGCACGTTCTCCACTCCCCATCACCCATGGTAAGCACGATGCGGATTAGAAGAAGCTCAAGTTACTCCAAAAGGATTAGTGTGAGGTTCATTATCTCCGGCAATCCGGCAAATGATTGACAGCACTTGCCCACTTTGAGCCGGATCTGAGCCTTCCCGGAGCTAAACACACACCAGCGATGGCGAGTACTGTACATCATTCCTGTTCTCATCGTAGCTGCCTTTGGCCGAAAACGATTCACTGCAATGTTCCGAGGCAGGATTACAACCTAAGCAGGCTGAGGTGGTGTTCTCGTGATCGAATTTCCATGGTCATTATTGGGTCAAAAGGCCTCTGTGCCCGTGCTTGCCTGGTTCCTCACGAGTACGCTCCCTTACAATATCTCGCTCAACTTACGTTCAGTATGCGTCTTACTATCGTGGCTGGTGCGCTTGTGGCCAGCGTTGTTGCACACCCTCAGGGAGGCTCGTTGCTCGGTCTGCCACTAAACATCGCAGCACTGCTCAAGTCTCTTGGACCAGCACCTGCAGATGATCCCAGGTTCACGGACTTCAAGCCTGCCGGCTCGGGTGATGGTACATTACCTCGCAAACAACCATCATCAATGCTATCAACTAACACCAGAACCAGTCCGCTCCCCTTGCCCTGCTCTCAACAGTCTTGCAAACCACGGCTTCATCCCCCACAACGGCAAAGGCAACACCATTCCCATTCTGCTGAAGGGGCTAGCAGAAGGTCTCAATGTGGGCGCCGACTTCACCACCGCAATCGGTGGTGCGGGTCTGCTCGCCTCCCCCAACTCCCTCGGCGGCTCATTTGACCTGGACGACCTGAACATGCACAACTTCCCCATCGAGCACGACGCCTCGATCTCGCGCCAGGACGCCGCGCTCGGCAACCTGCAACCCTTTTACGACCCCAACTGGCAGCAGTACATCCGCTTCTTCGACGGCAAAACAGTAACCGACGTGCCCACTGCCAGCAAAGCGAAGTTCGCGCGGTACAACGATAGTCTGGCGAAGAACCCAGACTTCACATACGGCGTCCGTGAAGCCGTCTTGTCGTACGGCGAGAATGCACTTTACCTTCAAACAATGGGTGATCCTGTTAATGGCAATGCGAAGATCGAGTACGTCCGGAGCATGTTTGAGAAAGAGCAGTTACCGTATAATTTAGGCTGGAGACCGAGCAAGGCACCGATTACGTTGAATACCTTGGGCGCTATGGTTGCGCAGTTGTTTGGGAATAGCCCTGAGCCGGTTCCTGAGGGCGCGAGGATTGTGGCGGATAGTTACAAGGATGCGCTGGTTGCGATTGTAGGTGGTAGTAAGAGCCTTGCCAATTTGACGGGGGGTATCAGCGAGGTATTGGGGTTGTAGGAAGCGTTTGGTGATACGGGAGTGGAAACATCTTTAGCGCAACGAATTTTACGTCATGAGATGGTCTCTGTCAACCAGTGAGCTGAAATAACATGAAAGCGAGATGGACGATTCTCGAAATTCCGGACGAAAAGAAGCATCGCAAAAGCACGGCGGAAAGGCGATCGCAGACTAACTACGTTCGAGCATCGCAGGAAGAAGTGACAGAGCAGATCGCACATGGATCTAAGAGCTCGACGAGTGGTCTCTCGTCAGGAAAAAACCATACGCAGTAGTGACAGTATCGTTGTCCACACCTTGTCGCGACTGGAGCTGGGTAAGTAACCATGCCGCAGTAGGACGTGTTCCTTTCCATGTAGGCCTGACTCCGTCCTCTATAGCGACATCAATCGCATAAGCAAGAGATGGATAGCCCGTTCTCGCCACTCCTAATTCCACATCGCATCCGAGACCATAAATGATAAATAGCTGAGTAGAAACAGAATGATGTCCTTCTGGTGCTGCGGATGTGGTACATGCGTGCCCGGGGGGTGCTGTTGCGGTACGAAGAGCAAATGTATATAATGAGTGTAACGTGGTCCACCACCGAGCGGATCACCCCACCGAGCGAATCACTCTGCCAAGACCACAACGCTTTCTACTATCAATTACAATGGCTCAACCAGTTGATCTTGAATTACTTTCCTGTGCAGATAGAGTTATACTTGCTACCCAAGCAATGAAATCTAACGCGTCACTAAGCCAGCGACGCGCTGCTGCTATCTACAAGGTTCCTCAAAGTACACTTAGCCATCAAGGCGCCGGAAGAACCCCACGACGCGATACCCACCCCAACTCATCTAAGCTTCAGAAGCATGAAGAGGAGGCAGTTATACAATATATAAGGAAGCTTGACGCTAGAGGCGCTGCCCCTACGCTTAGCCACGTACGTGGAATGGCTGACCAGCTACTAGCTAGGCGTAGTGGTGGCCAGGTTGGGGAGAACTGGGCCTATAGGCTGATCCAACGCCGGCCTGAGGTCAAATCTCAGGTAACTCGACTCCGTGATCACCAGCGAGTCCTCTGCAGTAATCCAGCTATTATCAGCCCCTGGTTCAACCTTGTACGCAACGTCAAAGCCAAGTATAGTATCCTAGATTAAGACACGTACAACTTTGATAAGACTGGCTTCTAGATAGGCGTTAGGGGGTCTGTGAAGGTATTCACAGCCTCTAAGAGGCGCCTTAAGCCACTTAGGGTTCAGCCTGGTGACAGGGAGTGGGTGACGTTGATTGCCGCCATCAACGCCACAGGGTGGGTTATCCCACCCTTCATTATCTTCAAAGCTAAGAACCACAACCAGGCCTGGTATCATACCCCTAGGATTAGAGAATAGGGGTTAGTGATAATGGATAGACAACAAATGAGCTTGGGCTTGCCTGGCTATAGCACTTTATCAAGCTGTCAGATAAGAGCGAGCGGCGAGAGGTCGGATCTGCGCAATCGAGCAGGGACCTGTCGTGCAGCCAATCAGCAGTTGCCAGGTCGATTAAGCGAGACCTGGCAACTCCTGATTGGCCCGCACACAGGCGGCCGCGAACAGCGCTAATTCTAGACTGGCGGATGGGTACCATGTACCTAGGGTAGGATATAGGTAGGGTATAGGTCGCACGGACGTAGGTATAGGTAGGGTAGGGTCGCACGGGCCATAGGTATAGGTAGGGTAGGGTCGCACGGACCATAGGTA